GTACTATATATTTATTATGAGATTATGGTTGGGGTTTTTTTCTAGCGTCACATTGTGGACATCTCAACACAATCAACATTTACAAAATATTTAATAATAAGTATAAAAAAATCCATGATTATGACCATTAGGGATGCTGAGAAATATGCCTCGAAAACTGGTTCAAACTAGAGGCCCATACATGTAGGTGCTGTATCGCCACACGGTTTGGTTCGCTGATATTGCTTCATCTAAACGAATAATTGAAACAAAAATAACAACAAAAATACCAAAATATCAACAGAAAACATTTTTTAAATTGGACAACACTTCGAGAGAAGATGGATTTTGAGTAATTTGTTATATTTCCCAGTTAGGTCTCCGCTCCTCTCTACCCACGGAAACAGACCAATTGTCTATACAAAACTAAGTTTTCTTCACCAGATCAAAGTGGAATCCAGGTAGCTTAATTCTCATTTGGCCCTCAGGTCCCTTGTAAGTAATATACATCGCTTATATAAAATTGAAAAGGATGCTTCTCACTAAACTTGGTCAAAATGTGCCAAGTCGTTCGTGACTAGCAGTGATTAGAAGAAAACAAGTCCACAAACGGACGAACAGACAGCGGACGAACTTTCATAAGCTCACCTCGTGGAAAGTGAACGTTTTCGAGCGCGTTTTATTCTTTCACATACATTTGGGTCATCCGACAGACATTTTGAATGGTACCAGGCGCAAAGAGGTGGCATTGGAGGCTGTTATTATCACCTTCATCTAGTTTCCTGCATACGCAATGAATGGCGCTTGTGTTTGCGTTCGCGTGTTTTGTATTGATTTGTCTTCTTTTCTGTATATAAAGGAACAAACTTATTCTTTTAGTCCTGAAGAATTGTTGATGTCATTCGCGACTGATCTAACACGTACATCGACGGTTTTTGTCCCAAAACGAAGGCTGTTGTAATTGCGAAAGCAAATAAACCACAATCTGCACCACCAGCTGATGGCGCGAAGAATGATTTATTTGCATCTCTGCAGATAGCGTCTTGGTAAGCTGAGTACAGCTTTATCTAAAGCTGCTGAAGATGTTCATTCTCATAATGCCATATATTAAGATAAAATCATCGTCAGCCGACAGTGTCTCAATGAGTGGTGTTAACATTTAGGATCTTAACAAAGGGTCACTATAGCTATCAAATGACTGCCATGTATCTGCTGCTTGGGGAAAAGATACAACATCGTAGTCTCGATAGTCGGACTGAAGTTCGGAGAAAAGGTTTTGGGGCCTGTCAATTGCTAGACACAAGGTGGTAGATCAGGTCGATAGTGTGTTCAGTTCATCCTGGAAATCCTTGGTTCCTTCCTTTCTGCACAGAATAATTGTTGTACTCATTTGATGTCATTTATTTCTTCGTTACAAATATTCTCTCTGCAGTCTGTCAGCATTCTGGAATATTCCTCCAGATCACCTTCGGAAGCCTCTACAGCCGTGTACGTTGATGGGATGATCAGTAGCAATCCACTTTAATTCAGTTTCGAAGTCAGCATTCTCATATTATAATTTGATAGTCATATGTAAGTTCTATTAAACAATTTAAATCAGCACAGACAGTGATCACTTCAACTGCTAATAATTATGACAATAATGATGATCCGTGTAGGTTTGATAAAGAGTTTTTTCTTTTGTTTGCCGTCAAAATGTTAGGAAGAATTTAAAGTTAAGTTAAACACGACATTGGTTACATGTGTACGTTTACATATCCCAATATGACTTTATTTCATAGATTAACAGCGTAAATACTATTAAGATCAATGTCAAATAAATGCAAGAAATTATATATTTATATGTTATGAGGAAATTGGTTTTGTGAAGAGGTCTAAGGGGTTCAGTGTATACGGGAAGTGTGATTTGAAAGAAGAATAAAAGTTAAGACCCAATCGCGCATCCCCCCTATGGTCGAAATATTTTTTGAAAAGCATCCCAATGTATATTAAATGTTTTTATGATTACGTTATTAGTTGTCCACAGAAAATGTAACTTGAATACTTACTATTATACATAAACACATTTTCCCGGCGCCTTAATTCCAAATGACTACCCGAGTTATATATATATATATATATACTAGGGACGAAAGGTAATTTGAAAAGCGACAGGTGGTCCAAATGGGAAAAACTGGTTGGATACTTGCACAAATGCAAGATACTCTGTATCTATTAAATTACGAGACAGTTCATTTAGTTCTTGATAACATGCAGATGTAATTTTTCACATCAGCATGCCATTCACCTTTGTAAAAAGTAGATAAAATTTCTGAGATTAAAGATATGCACATTTTATTATATCTGACCTTTCATCACTTTACGTAGTCATATTGACAGCATTACTACATTACACATGTGTGCTGTTATTTTTCATCGCACGAAACGACATTTTGTTGTTGCCTGTCTGAAAATATCGGCAGACACAAATTATTGAGTCTGATTACATCTGATTCAGACATCGAGATAAATATATTTCAACGTGATGTTCATTCTTATTTCTGTACACTACATAGTAAGCTTTGTATTTGTTTTATGTAATTCCATTAGCGATAAAATATAGAAGGCTCGACTAAGTACATACTCCAACAATAAGATTATTTCTAACCAAATTCTGTCAGTCATAACGACCATCAATACTAAACAAGGCAGTAAAATGTTTAAATATATCATTGTTAACGTTTCTACGCTGTATCAATTCATCAATTGTTTTGATATATATGTACTTAAAGACTTTAAAATCAATCCACTTCTTATTTAACCCTCTGACGAGTACAGTGTATAATTAATGTATAGATATAATCACACTCACAACGGGTGGGATCTGTTTATTTTAGATGTCACACTCTACATCGAGAGGAATAAATCTCTTACAGAAGTCACGCAATAGAATGGGAGGGATCTATTTGTTATAGAGGTAACACACTACAAGGGAGGGATCTATTTGTTATAGAGGTAACACACTACAAGGGAGGGATCTATTTGTTATAGAGGTCACACACTACAAGGGAGGGATCTTTTTCTTATAGAGGTCACACACTACAAGGGAGGGATCTTTTTGTTATAGAGGTCACACACTACAAGGGAGGGATCTTTTTCTTATAGAGGTCACACACTACAATGGAGGGTTCTTTTTGGTATAGAGGTCACACAGTACAAGGGAGGGTTCTTTTTGTTATAGAGGTCACACACTACAACGGCAGGGATCAATTTCTTACAGAACTCACGCACTAGAATGGGATGGATCTATTTATAACAGAGGTAACACTCTACACTGGGAGGAATCAACTTCTTACAGAGGTCAGACACTATGACCGGAGGGATCTATATGTTATCGAGGTCACACTATTCAAACTTGATTAGTGCATTGTAATAGAAGTCACACTCCATAACGCGAAGGATCATTTTTGTTATAGAGGTCACACTCAACAAAGATAAGGATATATTTGTTTAAGAGGTCACACTCTATAACGAGAACAATCTGTTTCTTGTAGAGGTCACACTCTATAGATGGCGGGATCTATTTGTTATTGGTGTCACTCTCCACAACGGGGGAGAGTATTTGTTATACAGGTCACACATTACAACTTGAGGGATCTATTTCTTACAGAGGTCACACTTTACAACTTGAGGGATCTATTTCTCATAGAGGTCACACTTTACAACTTGAGGGATCTATTTCTCATAGAGGTCACACTTTACAACTTGAGGGATCTATTTCTTATAGAGGTCACACTTTACAACTTGTGGGATCTATTTCTCATAGAGGTCACACTTTATAACTTGAGGGATCTATTTCTTATAGAGGTCACATTTTACAATGGGAGGACTCAATTTGTTATAGAGGTCACACTCCATAACGTAAGGGTTATATTTATTATAGTGGTTACACTTTACAGAGGGATCTACTTGTTATTTGGATCACCCTCTTCAACGGAAGGAGATTATAGGTTATAGAGGTCACCCTCCAAAGGGAGAGGAGAGATTTGGTTATGTTGATTACACTTGACAACTGGAGGGATCTGTTGTTATAAAAGTCACACTCTAAATCGGGAGGGATCTATTTATTATAGAGATTACACACTTCAACAGGATTGGTCTATTTGATATAGAATAGGAGGTATTTGTTCGTTGAAGAGATCACACTCCACAATGTAATGAACCTATTAGTTACAGAAGTCACACACTACAACAGGAGAGATCTAGTAATATTTTTGTTATTAATGCTACAATTTTTGTGGGATTATACATCAGTGATAAAAAGAACATACCCAACGGAATTAATTATTTGAGGAGGTTGACACACTATGCAGTTGGAGATTTTTTATTATAGATTTCACATTCTCGGTTAACGTTGTAAATCTGTTAATGAGATAACTGACTTTAGAAAGATGTATATTTTTTTTGAAAAAAAAAGAAAATGACAATTCATCTAACCTTTCTCTTATAAATGCACGTCTATTTACTATTGATGTACGTGTCTAAGATTTTCTTTCATACATATTCGATCTTCGATATGCGATCCATTCTGTTGCTTTTAAAATCAATAAATTGAAGGATATAAGTATATCTAATCCATTTAATACATAGTGCCGCCAGGTCACATCTCAAAACGGTCACAAAGGAAAATGCCACACCGCCACCCGCTCAGTGATATTTTATGATAGCGGAGTAATTCACTAAGTGATACAACTATTGTTTAGGTCCAAGGTAGTAGTTTTAATGTATCATGGCGTAAATGTTATTTGTATTATTTTCTCATAACACATGAAGCAAACTTCTTATATATTTGTGTATCTGATACCTTTCGCACCGATTTTTAAATTCGGACTTGAGCAAGACTTCCTGCACACTTGGAAACAAGGGAAGTAACTTGTCATTTTTAAAATCATGTGACTAAAAACCGGAAACAAAAGTTATTCGTAAACAGAATGTACTGACACTACTGATCACGATTTAGTAACGTTTTTTGGACACATGAGCAGCGTGCGAGTAGCGTGATGGCTGGAGGAATCACAGAGACAGGTGCTGGCTACTCAAGGCTGGTGAGTAAGCGTATCATTTACTTTTACCACAGACGGTTAGGGTCTTGTGATTTGGCGGTGTTGACATAATCGTTTAAGCAGGGACGTATATACGTCCCTGGTTTGAGTAAGTAAACAAGGAACTATTGGTAAGACTCTTTTTACTAACAATTTTCAACCAAACTTAACTGTAAGAAGGCCCTTTTGTCATATTGCTGTAAAACAAACCCCAGACCAATTGTACTGCAGTAATATCACGGACCTCTATACCCAAGTCCGCGGTAATACATGTACGGTGAATACATACACACTGGTCTAGATATACACATATATGACCAACAAAAAAAGTCATTTAACTTCTCTTAAAATGGTGTTGTCAAGTATAATTCCCAGTTATTAGTACAGAATCATACATGTAACATGAATGTGTAGTTAACCCACTTAATTTACACTATGGAATGAAGAGGAATGAATTGACGATTTTGCTCGTAATTACACGTATTTTTAACCATGTGGTAGCCCGTAGTTCCCGCAATGGAATTTTCTATCACACTTCGTGATATCACTAAACGGGTTAGGCGGTATCGCCTATTCATTACTGCGGTGATATCGCTAATCCACGTGGTGATATCACTTTGATAAATATGTGAAATTACATTAAAACTTAAAACGACACAGCTTGTAAGTATTAATTGAACCATACTGAATGATTCTACAGTATCTTTCTGGTTTAATTTGAATAAAAACTAAAAGAATTGCACTGTTTACCGAATATAATGCTTTGTTTACAGGTTGGTCTGATCTACATTTTCAACCTGATCGTTGGCACTGGAGCCCTGACCATGCCTAGCGCTTTCGCCTCTGCTGGATGGCTTCTAAGTTTGGTCATTGTCGTCGCACTGGCATTGGTCAGGTAAGTAGCACAGCTTGAAATCGATTCCTGTCTTTATTTAGAACATTTTAAGTGTAAATTGAAATATTTTTCTTTTGTTTAACTTTTTAAATTCATGCCATCGTAATCACGTAATTTTCAAAACTGAGCTTGACACTCAATATATTGTGCCTTATTTAGATAAACATAGACCAGATAAACTACCTTTTAAGTTTAGATAGCTTCCTTATTAACCTGACAAACAAAATGGTGAACTGGTAGTAAGGGGAACAATTTACAAGGTTTTTTCTTTCAAAAGGCGTTCATCCTATATACCAGCAAATAATGTCTTTATATATACATAATATTACCGGTATGTATTTGTGTTGCAGCAACATGACTGTGTCTTTTGTGACTGAAACAATGGGTTGGGCTAATGCAAAACTCAGACAAGATGAAGGCCAGTCGCACGTGGTAAGAGTCAAAATCCAAAAATGATTAAGAAGTTCATTTCTGATTTCCTATACCTGATTTTTTTTCCATTCATTTCCTGCGTCGAGGAAGCAGCGCCCCTCAGTCATGTAATTTCTTATAAAGAAATATTAAAATGAAAAACATAGTAATTTATTGTATGCAATATTATAGTGTTTAAGGGATATTATAAAAAAAAATTTTGTTTTGTAAGCCACCCGTGAACAAACCGGAAATTGATTACATAGACGATGTGGACGAGTCCAGTGCATTACTACCAGATTGTGAAAATGGTAAGATAATATGATTGTAAAGTATACCCGTTTGCCAGCTGTACAGACCTCCAAAGAACCATGTCTTTGTTAGCAGTGTTGAAACCCAGGTATAAGGTAAAACCCAGGTAGATAAGGTTTGGATCAAATCAGGATGTTGAAATGTATTATTGTTTATTTTGGGAAAATAAGTTGCGACACAAAAAATGTTTGGCATAATGTTTTTGTATGTAGTATAGAATTTGGAAAAACACATAATGATGTTGAAATATTAGTTGAACAGGTCATAACATAGTTGGTAAAAAACGATAAGGTCTTACGTAGCGAAAAATATCTATTGTTTCAAGTTAAGAAATTTGGTTGTTTTGCGTTTTGATGATAAACACACAATAAAAAAGTAAAACTTTAGATTTTATTTTGCAGGTTCGTTAGACCATGGCACGAATGCATGTGAAATGACAGAGAGGACAGAACTGGTAAATATTTAACAAAGTCATGACATCTGTCATGTCCGTTATGAATTAGTCAAATATGTTGATGCAGTTTAATTAATTTTTTGGCTTTGCTGTATCTCACTCTAAAATTATGCTTTTCACTTGTGTGTCTTTTGTACAATATTTAAAATCGTTGTAAACTTATTATTATTTCAATTTCTTTTTCAGGGTCAGATGGCCAACATGTTTTTCAACAAGTGTGAGTATGATATTATATAATCAAACACAGGTTACAATCAGAAATTATTTTTCTACTGTGTTTGTATCGGTTGGAGGTTAATATACTGTATTACACTGTAAGTTAATTTCGCCACGAAACTTTTGAAATTTGTGACCGATATTGTGGCTTTCATATGCATGTTTATCAAATCAATCTATCTTTGTTCACTTGTTGGATATTTTAAATGCGTCCCCATTCATCGCAAGATTTTGTAATATGTTAGTAATATGCTTTATGAGTTTCTTTTGTGTTTGAAATTACTTTCTAACCCAAAGCTGATACTGAGAAGCTTAGAAAAAACAAGCTTAGAATAACTAAACAAAATCAGCAGGCAACCGGTTCTATTTAAATTTAGGACAAAAAATATCAGCATGGGTTAGGATGTCAGACGTGGGATTTTATTTTAAACAAACCAGCATCCTCTACCAAAACGTAGAATTATGGCTTGCAAGACTACAAGTAAAGTGCCACAGTTATCTTCAGTCGTCTACATATCAGCACATGTATAGTGAAATTCTATTCATTCCGCTGCTGATTGACGTAAGACGTGTAAATTGCAATAGGACAGAACTATCAGTGATTCATTTCGTCGACGTCAATGTTATCAAAATGGAGTTAGATATGGTTTGAAAGTACAGTGTATATATTTCTTGTTTTGCTTCCAAAGCGGACTGCATATATCTCATTGTATTGCAGTAAATTGCGTATTGAATCATTAAACTTCATTAATTTTTGCTTATTAGAGCTCAGCTCTGGCGTTCATGATAAACCAGTCTTCAAAGAATATTTAATTTCAATTTATTTATTTCATAATTATTAAGGTGGTTATTTCAGTGTTTTTATAACTTTTTTTTTGTATACTGTTGTTGAATTTATCTCTTAAACGGCATGTGGGTCCTAAAATAACTTCTTATCGTAGAATTATAGAAAAAACATAGAAAGTACCGGCACGGTAACGAAACCGTAATTGAAACACAAATTTTATTGCACTATGATGAAATATCAGTGAAAGAAAAAGAAAATACAGCCATGTTAATTTTGGTCAATCCAAGTAAGTGATGTCACCTTTCCAAATTATAACAATGTATAGAACAATAGGATCTATAGACAAACTTACATCAAACGCACGCAGCTTCATGTCGCACAAAGAAACAGGATATTACTCGATGAGATCATTATCGAACCGTAAAACTTTCCATTAATCTTCATCAACATGCATCTCTCGAAATCCTGTGTTTAGGGTTTCTCTGTCTTACAGGAAAATCGTAATATTGGTTACAAGCCCCCACGAATAGCGTATCAACTGCCTCATGGGAACACCATAGGTTGAAAGTTAGGAAGCTAGTTTATCAAGTGGCCCATTTTAGAGACTAAATTGTTTAGTCTTTTAAAGATGATATACTCAATAATAATTTGGTTCTTTTCACAGAAAAATGCAACATTTTGTTAGAGTAGGGAGATTATATTCATAACATACAGCGTGATTTGGAAATTCAAGAAATTCCAAAAATATGATAAATCTTAGATAATCGGGAAAAAGCTTATCAAATGATTATCTGTTTTACAATTACATTCGGCATCGAAACTTTAAACATTCCAACTATCCTTCCCATAAAGGTAAAAACACTTCCATCATATATATATTAACAAGGTTACGACTTCAGAATATTATTAACGTCTTGACTGCTCGCTTACTTGTCTGTCACAGGCATCGGCAAGTGTTAAACACTATAGGCCAACATACTTCATGTGTACTGAGCTTTGTATTGTCCCTTCTTTCAAGCTGATTGAGCGTTCTTTCGACTTTTTTTCTCATACCGGTGTGGAGTCTATTTCAGACTGATACATAAATAAAAGTAGATTACATAAATATAAGTATATTACATAAATAAAAGTAGATTGAACGTCAGTAAAAAAATCAGATTAGCTGAATATCCGTCCCGATCCCGAGGTCAAAGATACGATATTTACGGAAAATGTTATGAATAATGTATTATTGAGTCCATTATCATCTCATTATGAGAAGTTGCCGATATTGTTTTAATTTCCAATCTGTTATTTCTTTCTCCCACCTTTTCGTCTTCTGTTGTGCCTCTCTAGACACTGGTCGTTATATAACCTTGGCTATACGGAGATATTCTATAATGAAAACTCTTTATATTAGTGACCATGACACACTTGACGTATCAATGATATATCTAGTTCAGAACTATTTTATATCGCAGGGGGCTTATTGGCATTCTATCTGTGTATGGCTCTCTACTTGTACGGGGATCTCGCCATTTACGCTGCGGCGGTACCAGTTTCACTCAGGGATGTTATATGGTAAGTATTGGTCATGGTTGGTACCAGGTTGAATTCTTAGTGCCCAAAGTTTTTGTAACAATTTTGCCAAGAATATATTCTGTACGTGGACATAATTCATCAACTCTCATAGAGGTTGTCCCTACTGAATCCTTGGCTTGAAACCATTTGAGATCGTCTTTCAGCATGTTGGTGAAAAGTACTTTGATTGTCTTGGATTGTTGATTACCACTCAATTTCACGGATAAACGTCATGTCTTGGTGCCATGTTACATCAACATATACGTAGTTGTTAAATTCTCTATTCTGAATCTTTATTTTATAGTACCTATAAGCTCCCAAACGCAACAGAGGCATGTAACAATTCCCTAAAACTGACCGATAGTGACACGTGTTGGGATGGTAGAGATATAAGCAGAGGACAGGCTTACAGGATATGTCTGGTAAGGTCAATGGTTTTATATTTTTATCTTTACCCAATAAATAACGTACAATTTAACCAAATTGAAACTTGACAAAAATTATTAAAATTAAGTTGGTAATTGGAAATATTTGGTATTTTCAGTAATCCGATACTATATCTATATATGTTTGATCGGGTATCATGGCATGGTTGTTTTCAGGCGATTTTCTTTGTGACCGGAGGTCCCTTTGTTTTCTTCAATGTGCAAAAGACCAAGTATCTCCAACTCTTCACTACTTTGATGCGATGGCTTGGTAAGATCTCTTGTTACAGCTAAAAACTTTTTTTTTTCAGTTTATTTTCAATCCATTTCTTTTTTTAATTATGACATTCGTCAAATACCTTATTTTAGAGTGTATGTAATTTGTACGTTATCAAATTGATAGCCTCATTTTTTTCAGCATTTGGTACCATGGTCGTCCTTGCTGTGATACGATTGAGCAAAGGTCAAGGTCAAGGTCATCCAAAGGCGGCAGATTTCTCTGGAATACCGAATCTTTTCGGCGTTTGTGTTTACTCCTTCATGTGTCATCATTCACTACCGAGTCTGGTCACTCCAATAAATAACAAGAAAGGATTATTTAGACTTATTGGAATAGATTTTCTTCTGATCCTAGGGTTTTATGCTTTAATTTCTTTCACAGGAATATTTTCTTTCAACAAGCTCAACGATTTATACACATTGAATTTTCTCCCAGACCCATGTGACTCTTCCGAACCAGTTACAAACGTTCAAGTGATTCAGTATTTTCTAGCTCTGTTTCCAGTTTTTACTCTTAGCACAAATTTTCCGATTATTTCCATCACACTGAGAAATAATCTCAAAACGATGTTTTATAAAGGAGACGCCAATCCATATCCCTGGGTTGTTGACAGAATTGTCTTTCCATTAGGGGCCATAATACCACCATTCATAATAGCATTTTGTACAAGTCAAGTGGAGTTCCTTGTAGGCGTCACAGGGTCATACGCAGGCGCCGGAATTCAGTATGTTATACCAGCGGCGCTAGTATACTTTGCCAGAAAAAAAATGAAGAGTATAGTCCCAAACATGAAGAACCCTTACACTTCACCTTTCAAACATGGAGCGTGGATTTGGTTTGCATATATATGGGCAACAGTATGTATGGTTATCGTCACAGTCAACCATATAATTACTGGTAAATAGATCTAGAAAGCAATTTTCTTTTTGTAATATTGTATTACTGATCAGCAATGACGGGTGCTTTATGTATTGCTTTATTAGTTTCTTTGTTTGATAAATGCTAAGACTTACAATTTCTAGGAAATGATTCGACAGGCATAAAGACTGTTTTAATATGTTGTTTCCTTGAGTTTTAAACCTGAATGAAGATTGATTTACAAAATTATTTTACAGAGCGCTGAAATCACTAATATATACAGATAAGTTGAGGTCATGACACTTGTACAATATAACCCATTATCAGTTCAAAGTTACTTTTAATCATGTAATTAAAGAAGTCTTTTTCCTTTTAGACTACAAAGTATATTAAATGACGTATTTTTGTTAGGAAAACGTCTTGATTTACATGTTGCAATCGCCTTGTGTCTGTCGTCGTGCATTGTTTGTGACGATTTTGCTTCCTAAAAAACCATGAGCCAAATTTGATGTTTTTTTGCAGAAACCTTCCATGGCAAAATTTGAACATTTTTATTTGATGGACCCCATAAACAGGGGTCTGGTTCAAATTTATATGGTAGAATCAAAAAAAAAAATTAATATGGGACGGCTGTTTATGTTATGCATACTAACATTGATTTTACTTTATACTTTACATGACACCGTGTAATTCATGCTACTTTTCAACAAACTTATTTCTATGACTTATGTAAATGGGGATAAAATGGTAACGTTTATGGAATTCATGTGACCGTTAAGGTTCTTGAGGCGCTTCTATAATTCAACGCAATGTCTTTCAACTCTAGCTGATATATATTGACCTAATGAAACCATGACAATTGAATAATATCTCACTACAACATTTTCTTGGTTGAATACTGTTCGGAATACACATACGGATCACTGTTCATTCGATGTAGTCGGTACCCCTAATTCTTGCTGTAGTATATTGTCTAATGTGAAGCCAGGCCACAGGGACATTGTACTAGTATATGTATTGTAAGTATAGTAACTCCGTGCCGAATCTTTTGGAAATGCTACGAAACCGTTATTTCCTGACGTTGTATACATTCCTCAGATAAACGTAACTGGACATCTTTATTCCGATAATGTGTTCGGTTTAGTTAGTTTTATTGTAGTTTTCTGAGATAGTACGTTGACAACGGTCTCCGTTTCTATTTTTCTAATATGAGGTACTAGCTTTGGAATCATCCAAACGTTTTGTTGTGCCAAAATTGATGTTGACTGGCATAATTGTAAAACAATCAAGGTAGCTTATTTTTAGTGATATTATGATATATGATATGTGTTATTTATTTTAGCTGTGGATGAAAATTATTGTATTTATGTCATCATTGTTATCTCTATAATCAAAACACAGAGGTTAAAGAATGAAATGTCCCGTGCAAATTTTCAAAACTGGCTGTATAGGAGTCTGGATATCATAATGCTGTTAATGTATGCTCTTGATGTATCTCTCATGATCTCTTTGTAGCCGGTTTGAACAGATTGTGTTTATTCAGGAAATTTTCCACTTAAAGAAATTCCATTCCTGAACAAAATTAGTTTGGCGTCAGCTAGATCAACTTATCTTTACAATATCTGTATTACGTATCGATTATATTTCCTAAGTTCTGATGACTTTGTTTTATAAGAAATTGCAGTGTATGAAATTATGCTAAATATATGCAGATTACAGATACTAACTAGCCTCGTCTCTCGATTCACTCATCATATGATGGGTATATTGACAAACACGGTATGTAATTCAATGAAGACAAGTGGGAAGTACAAAGCAAGTTCCGGCGTTTCTTACCTCACTGTCAATCCAGTCACCTCTGTGGCCTTTCACACAGGACTGGGTGCAGATTGGCCTTCCTGCTATTATATAGTTTTCAGAATGGACAAAATAAATGTTACACAGATATATACATAACTAAAACGACATGATTTGATTACCAAATAATATTATTCATCGTAGACATGTTTTGATTTTGATAGTGATGTCATCAGTGAGGTTTTGAAGTGAACCACAGAGTTCTTTTTTCTGTCTTATTGCCAAACGTTCTTTGAAATGTAATCGATATGATAACAAGATTTTGAGGGCATCGTCTTAATTATAATTATAATATTGTAACTTTTTAACAATGCGATTTTTTTGTTTTATGCAAATGTAATATTATTTTTAATTGAGTTTATTTCATTTTTTGTTAATGACAAATTTAACAGCTTCAGGGTTGTGAAGTTGACAAATTGTTGCACTGTTTGCAATTGTTTATTTGTATGTATTGTTTAAACGTCCGGAATTGTTTTCGAACCTTGACAATCCCTGTCTAGAGTTGTCTCTTCATACGTTAAGCATTGTAAGCCTGTCATTCATTGCCTGGTAATAAACTACCTCCTGTTTGTAACGTTAGAGTCGTGTGGTAGTTCACTAAAATTCATACCTACACATACTTAATTCTTAAAATCATTATTTACTCCTGTCAGTGTTCAAACTGCTTTCAACTGATCTGAATCCACCAACCATGGGCAGACAAAAATGAAAAATCGAAAACAAATGTTACTAAATCACGCCTTAATACGCCAATAAACTGTTCGGAAAAGAGAGTTGTTATATTTCTTTTATTACAAATTGTAGATTGATAGATAACCGAGCTGTTCACTTTTCCATTGGATGAGAACCATCACAATATTGGCCAGTAATTTGTTGAATCGGTGTCACTTGCATTAAGTATTACTTTTGTGACGTGAGACAAATTCCTAGAATGCACAGGCTGTAAATGGTTGCAGTCATTGCAACATATTTGACGTTATGATGTGTAATTAACTAATAAATATACGTCATAGGATGAAGAGTAATCATTATATGGTGTTACCAGATCACAAGCCTCGTCAGTCATCATTCCAAAACACTTTTGTACTTTGTTTGTTTTACACCTATTCTTGCGATTTCATTTGATTTCCGTTAGTCGTAAAATAGAATCCTTCGGAGGTAGATTGTATAGTATAAAAAGACCATAGTGTGTTTAAAGTTATGCAACACACCAACTTTATACATCTAAATCAGGTTTCTACATGAATATAAAACACATATAAAGCAGTGTTCAAGGGTATTATATACTTTATTCCCTTCTTGTCCAAATCGAACAGTATAGAAATATATAGATGGTATATAAGGGATTGGGAAAAAGCAATTGTTTGAGAAAGCCGCATTTCTTTGACCTTCATAGAGAATAAAACATCAAAGTATGGAATTCTTGAATACATGTATAAGTTAATTTCGAAAGCTTTGAATTTAGATTACAATGTCTACCTTTGAAAAGTTATAAATTACTTTATGATCATTTGTTTTACACGATATATCGTAGCTTTTATCTTCGGTTTAAGTTCCTGTATTCGTTACAGAAATGTGAAGTTTGGATTTTGATGTTCAAATTTGGCTAATAATGTCTGGTTGCTTTTTCACAATATATAGAGGTATAATTTTAATTGCAAATGGAAAAATAACCTGACACATGTGGCCAGCTGTAATTTGGGTCATCAATAATGCTACATTTGTAGGTAGTATCACAAAATACAAGTATCACAGATAGTTTAAAATGTCTTGGGACTAGTAAAAACGTTAAAATATCAAATACTTGATAATAATATTCAAAAATATAGTAAGACACACAAACTCCACAGAACACATTGAACAAGAAAGGTAAAACAATGGGACAATGGTATTATAATAAACAAAAGATATGTTTCACCTCAACCATACATACCATGTACCACAGAAACATACGATTGGAAAAAAAGATATTTCTTTCCTATACCTTTTTCTGAAGTTATTTGCTATAATAGTATACCATTTCGATTTTGCAATACGAAGATATATACTAAACATGTGTATAAACAATCGTTAGAGCTTTGTATCATTTACTAAATTTACTTAAAAATCACTTACTAGTTCACCAGCGCATGTGACAGAATGTAACACATTACCAAGTTACCTATAAACACATAGGGCCTACATGTATTAAATACGTACCCATGATTACATGTAATCATACCGTGATTGGAGTCCCCATATAACATCTTTCTAGTTTAGCCTTTACTGATTTCAAGTGAATTACTAATTGTGAGAAAATAGAAATCTTATTGTAACTACTGACAACAGTTCGTGCAATAACACGCTCATGAATGCAATAATACTGAATTCAGTTGATTTTTTGTTGAAACGATAAGGATAAACTGTTTCAATTGGCAAACCATTGAAGGTATAAAATGATTGCACATATATATGTATATATATACATCCATATATTGAAAAAGGACACACATTTCCTTAACAATGAAAATGTCTTGTGGTTGTTTAATCACAACTCATTCCAGAAACAAGCACCATTGTTATCCTTTTCAGTAGGGAAAATGTTTGTTTTGAATCCATTTTATTTCAAACTTTAAGGTTTGCTAAAACTCACTTTTTATCATAAAAGTCCCAGAATTCATTGTCTCGTTCATTTTTTGGCGCCAGGGTCACTTTTTCCGGTTGAGGTGGTGGCGGAGTGATTGGGGGCGTTTTGAAAACTATTTCCTCCAACGCAGGTTCATCTGGCTTAGTCTTTGTGGGTGGTTTCTTCGGTTTTGGCTTAGGTTTTGATGGCGGTGGATCATTTTTAGGTTTTGGCTTTGAGGTGGACCCCTTTTCCCAGTTTCTCTCCGCTTTAGGCATAGAACTTAAGAACTCCCGAAACGATTTCCGCATCCGCTCATACAGAATATTTCGCTCCGCCCATGTACCTAGTATGTAGGAAAAGTAGTACCAAAGTAGTCCTGCATGTGCCATGAAGAAAATTAGGTGCAACACAAAAATAATTCAATAAATGTAAACAAACACATTCTTTTTATATACTTTATAAGACTGAATTGAAACATGCATTTCATACAAAGGTCTTTGTATTCGTAAGGTTATGATATAAATCTAAGCTGTTTTCTGCTGTTTCTTAGCAAGTGTCTCCAAAAAGTAGGCTTCCCAAGCCTTTTTCATCCTCGTTTGAAGAACGTTATGTTCTGCCCAAGTACCTAAAACAGAGGAGAAGTGAAAGGAACTTGTAGATGATAATATTAGCAGTAGTAAAACAAGCAAACAGAATGAATAAGTGACTAGAAAATTTGAGATTTCTCATTAAAAACTTGGTAAGTTTCTTTTGTAAAATAAAGAAATAGTTCCAAATTTCTGCCAATATTTATATTTTTGTATGAATGCGTCTCAAGGAAAGATTTTGCACAAAAACGCAAGTATTTAAATGTAATGATGAGAAATCTCAAACATTCAAAGGGCATGACTACATGATATCTAGGGAAAAGGAAAACGTGATGAGTGTTTTTAGTTAGTAATTTTATAATCGTCAATCCAGTATTTAACCAAAATTGGATTATCATATTCAACCACTAAACAGCATCTCTACAATAACTCCTATTTTACGATGACAGCATTCAGTCTGAACATTACTTCCGGTAGCTATTCATTTCAGTTCAGTCAAATTCACTTCAGTTATTGTTATTTTCAACTAAACTACATATTACATTGAGCATATGGTTTTAATACGGATAAGTGTAATGATTGTCAGACCAAATTAATATATCATTTTGAATATTCATTAAGGAAAATATAATTGGTGAACCAGCGGAGAATAATTCACAAGAAATTTAGTGTTAATATATGTTAAGTCTTTGACCATCTATATTTAGTCTTTGTCCAGAAATGACGAAAACCCTACCTAATAGAACTGACGGGAATGCTTTGAAATGGCAAAAAAAAAAAAAAAAAACTGGCAAAAGATATAATTTCATACTTGATGGTATTGCAGTGTATATTGAAAAAGGTTTTTAACATCACACAGGAATGGTAAATAAGCACTAATACGCTGCTGTAGCAAAGAAAAGCAATAAAATTACATAATTCAACAGGGGTCTGTTAATTGTTTTAGGGTCTGTAGACGTCTATCTGATGATAGCATCAGAACACGGTGTTCTTAAGTAGGTGACGTAGGATAACGTCATTTTTTACAAATGTAAGACGTCCGCAGAACAATATGTCATTTCGTAGCCTATGATTCGGCACTTTCCGCAAATATAACTTATTGCATTGTTACAATGGTTCGGAGTAATGGGGTGGTATAAATAATGTTTTATATGATGATCAGGAGGATTGTTAAATGATAATAGTTTTGGATAAAGCAACAGCAAACAAACACAAAGATGCAACTTTGGTGGAAGTTCATGCGTGCTATACATAAAGACAACAATACTTACTGAGCTCGTCCCTTTGATAACGCCATTGGTCCGGATCAGGGTACCGTCTCAGGTGCACACTGTCATCGTACGCTAACTTTGTCATGCTCTTCTTGTGGTTCATCGTATAACCAGGAAAGATATTTTGGCGCATGGCATTTCCGAGCATTTCGTATTCTGGTTTCAGCTCTTTATCCATATCGGGAATATCCAAATGCTTACTTGGTCTTAGCAATCGTTCTCTCCTCAAATTCTGCTCATTGACTGTCTTTTCGACTTTCTTTTCATCTGATAATAGAAAATCACAGACTCGACTACCGAACTGGTGACGTATATTTGGTGGCAGTGGCACGATGCTACGTGGTTCTGCTGCAGGACGTGCAGATGCGTGTCTCGGAGTTCCGGTCGGAGCCTTCCGGTGACGTTCACTGTGACCTACATATGCCGGATATTCCGTTTTTTCTCGCCTAACGGTCTCCATACCGGGCCGCAAAATGTCCCCGCATAGACTGTACTGATGCACAGGAGCTCTTTGACCATATTTGTCCCTATTGTAGCTATTTCTGTCGTTTAATCCTATCTGATTCATTTCCTTGGCGAGTTTTGTTGCGCTGTCCGACATTGATAACGCAGACCTACCGGACCCTGCTCTTGGAACACGTTTGACTTTGTCCATGTCAAAATTTAACGCTTTGAATTCCATGTTTTCAATTGCCCTTTTTGTCTTTAATATTTCTTCTTTCTGTTTTTCTATTTCCTCCTTTGTTGCTTCCACGACTTTGTATTCTGTTCAAATGAAATAATTTGTGTTACTTGTAAGACAGGCATGTAAATTAAAAAAAATGATCCTGGACTGAATTAAGCTAATTAAACCTACACCAAAGATCACACTTTTAAACAATGGATCATGTTTCGGTCTAATTGCCTTCATTCATTGTTAGTTTGACGCATATGAATATACATACTTATATATTATTTGTGGAAATTAATTGTAAACAAATATTAACGTTATTGTACCCTGCCTTTCACATTAAATACGAGCTAAATGACATCAAAACACGTAGTCTACTTTTTACTTATCCGTATGTGTTATATGAATTGCGATAGTTCATATACAGAAATGAAAAAAGCTAATAAGGCTTGGAAGATTCGTGGCATTAGTTTAATTGGTTTTGATATACCAACAGTCATGGTCAGTACCGCCTATACAAACAAGAACTGTGACGTATGCATCCATACAGTTTAGACAATACACATTGTACAGTAATATAGTTACTCGCAGTAGCATGGAACAGTTGTTTTGTCGTAACATAAGATTTAAAAATCTTTATATTTCTACTACAGTGTAAATACCACTTGTAACTATCCTTTAAAATGCATCAAAAATATAATATTGCAAATTTCAATTTGAACATGTTTCTATACTTATGAACCCCATTCCCAGCCTCACTCAACCGCGCATTCATAAAAAAAATACAAACAGTTCTATTTTTCTTGATAGAGTATGTCACAAATGATGATATGCCTTTTTATGTGCGTGTGTTTACAACGACATTTTACTCTGTCGATAATGATATTTTTTCTATTTTTTTTTCCGAACTTGAGAATAAGTTATGGTTAAAATGGGCCTCTATGTTGAACAAATTATAAAAAAAATCATGCTTAGAAATGACAGTGAGATATCATATCTGCAGTTGGTAGCAATACTTAGAAATGACAGTGAGATATCATATCTGCAGTTGGTAGCAATACTTAGATGACATGATATCATACAGTGAGATAGAAATCATATCTGCAGTTGGTAGCAATACAGTTGGTAGCAATACTTAGAAATGACAGTGAGATACATGCAGTTGGTAGCAATACTTAGAAATGACAGTGAGATATCATATCTGCAGTTGGTAGCAATACTTAGAAATGACAGTGTCTGGTTGGTAGCAATACTTAGAAATGACAGTGAGATATCATATCTGCAGTTGGTAGCAATACTTAGAAATGACAGTGAGATATCATATCTGCAGTTGGTAGCAATACTTAGAAATGACAGTGAGATATCATATCTGCAGTTGGTAGCAATACTTAGAAATGACAGTGAGATATCATATCTGCAGTTGGTAGCAATATAGAAATCAGTGCAGTTGGTAGCAATACTTAGAAATGACAGTGAGATATCATATCTGCAGTTGGTAGCAATACTTAGAAATGACAGTGAGATAAATGCAGTTGGTAGCAATACTTAGAAATGACAGTGAGATATCATATCTGCAGTTGGTAGCAATACTTAGAAATGACAGTGAGATATCATATCTGCAGTTGGTAGCAATACTTAGACATGCACAGTGCACATTTTTGTATAACACCAATAAATGGCGTCATTACTTGTATAGTATTTGAGATCCACATGTACAAACATGTATCAAACTAATGACAAACAATACATTGACGAATTCAACATTCTATTCATCACTACGGAAACACCCAGATAAAGTATAGTTATTTTACCCCAGAGAAGAGCTGACGAACACTTGATCGGGGCTTTCATACCAGTCTATGACTGCCAATATCTTTGTGGAACAACATCTTATATTTTTCGAGAAATCTAAAGAATATTCTCTTATATCTCTCTGGATATCTCAGAATAACCTCTTATATCTCTCTGGATATCTCAGGATAGCCTCTTATATCTCTCTGGATATCTCAGAATAACCTCTTATATCTCTCTGGATATCTCAGAATAACCTCTTATATCTCTCTGGATATCTCAGGATAGCCTTATATTAATATGGTAGTCTCGAGAATATTCTCTTATATCTCTCTGGAAATCTCAGAATAACCTCTTATATCTCTCTGGATATCTCAGGATAGCCTCTTATTTCTCTCTGGATATCTCAGGATAGCCTCTTATATCTCTCTGGATATCTCAGGATAGCCTCTTATATCTCTCTGGATATCTCAGGATAGCCTCTTATATCTCTCTGGATATCTCAGGATAGCCTCTTATATCTGTCTGGATATCTCAGGAGAGCCTTATATTAATATGGTAGTCTCGAGAATATTCTCTTATATCTCTCTGGATATCCCAGATATCTCAGAATAATCTAACTTCTTTATGAATCCATTAATTATTTAACCATGTCTCAGAGGAATCTCTCACATTTATAAACTCTCTCATAACATTCCGTTGTTTATCTTTGAGTATCTCTGATCAATTTTCCCTATCTCTCTAAACAGAGTTCCTCTTATTACAGTTAATACGGATCATGTGATGATTCAGCCCTATAAACAAGTAACTGGAAGAACCTTGTTAAATAATCATAAGTAGATAACGAAACCTACGGGGGGTCTACTTATGTACATATGGTATGTTGGATTAGTTTTGAAATAACGAGAGTCTTGGGACAAGGTTCCCAGCTTGGTCTTCCTCTCACATGTGTATTGACTAAGAACAATATACATGACCTATTCCTCGAAACCTAAAATAAAAGTCCTACACAGAGCTTAAGTAGTTATATAACAAAGAAATTAACTTAATTACTTAATAGATCATTGAATTATCATAAACTATACTTCAAAATAGTTAATAATGCAGTTGTTGAATATGCGTATTTATCTCGATTTATTATTGTAGTTATTTTCTGGACAATTCCTTGTCTATAAATCATAAAAAGAAATAAAATCGCATCTATCACACTGAGAAACATGTTTTTCATAACGTTTTAACAACAACCATTATACTGGGGATACAAAACTCGTTCGTTTCGAGCTATCTTTTATACACTTTTCCTTTATCAATATGCACTAATTTCTCGACTGGTGCAGTGGAAGATGTAGGTCCCTCTCTACGATGGAAAAGTTAAGTAATTGTACATATACATTTTGTATATCAAAGTCAAAATGTTATCAGATTACTTGTCATAGTTACACACACATATAAAAATGTATAATTCGAGGTATAGATTCAAATTACATACTGGTCTGATATTTTTCAAATTAATCAATATCCAAAAGTACATTCCCTCTCGTCCTTTTGGTCCTCAACACCACAGAAGAGTTCCAAAGAGCCGAAAGAGATTTTATGAATTACGTACTTAGTATATACTGTAGTGGAGTAGCATATATCAATAAATGTATAAATATCGTTTACTATACACAAACATATTCATATACAATTCACAAGTGTGCATCTTTTGTAAAATGTTTCAAAATCGGAATCTTTAAGGAAGGTTGTTTGAACCTAGACTGAAAAAAAAATAATAATAATTATCACTGATGTTGAAAATAAATGGATTGAAGTTTTGATTAGTCAACCAAATTTGAATAAAATGTGAACACGAACCTCTCATCTGTGAACGGAATTCTTCGGGAAGTTGGAAACGTCCTTTCCTGCGGGGTTCTTTGCCTCCTTTTGAAATATCTATTTTCTGTATTTGGTCCATTTCTTCCTTATTGTGCATCTCCAGAGTGGATCCGAAGAGTGAGTGTTTTGGCATGGCATCAGTCCGCCGAGCCTTTGCGAGCTCGGCCAGATCTATTGGCGACTCCGCTGATAAGGTCGCCATCGTGCTCTCTGAAAATAATGAGAAACATAATTTTCAAAAGATAATTGAGTATATATCATTTTACTAGTATATTGAGGAATTTGCAGATTAATAGACTAAGATTCAGCCCGAATTCTAACTGAAAGGCAGCAGAGAGCATGTGTCCTATAATGTTGATGGATATGTATTATATAAAGTATATCTGATGGTTTTCAGACAGTATGGATATTTAATTACATTATTAAAGGATAAACAGTGAAATGACAATCAAAATATATACATATGAAAAAAAAAATAACAAATTTGCGTGGAAAATGCTGGAAACATTACCATATGTATATTCTTTGATGACAACTAGACAAAGCCATTTTGCTATATACGTAGCATTCTGTCGTTTTATCTTGGTTCTCAAGTTGAATCAGTTATTACACAGCCGTTTAAAAAATGTACATAGAAATGATATGGTGCAGAGCCAATTTATTCATACTTAGCTTCATTTCTCTCCGAACAGAGAAAGCAATGTTCCGATTGGTCAAAAGCTAACACAAAATATTATTTTTACGTATCACTGGCGGAAATGTAATCAATTAATCATTTTCATCCCAAGACATCGTGCTATCCAATAATATCTTTCTACTATAAGTGCTACAGCGCATTTCAATGTTCTTTTTCACATTCTCTACCTTTTTGTTGTTTTATGTAGATTCAGTTTTGAATTATTATTACTATTTGGTTTTTTTATCGGCACAATACAATCGTTTTGACGAGTTAGTCATTTGGACAATATGCTGTCACTGTCCCTATTGCTACAATGATGCCGTGATATTGAAACCAAGAGAACTTTTACACATGGATGATTTGATGCCATCAGAGATGACGTCGTTATTACACATGAAAATCACATTAGGATGTCACAATGTGGACAGAAGATATAGAACCAAGACGACTTGGGAATTACCAGTAAAGAACTTTTATCCGATATAAAATAGACAAAAGTCAAAATTAAGTGATATGCAATATATCAGAGTTCTGAAATCAGTTTCTGTTTGATACGACATTCGTATCTCAATTATTTTAATTTGATTTCTGTGGGTTTTTTTCCATCATTAGTATCATCATCTGTTATCTTATTTTGTTTTAGTTCGTCACTGAGAGGAAAAAAACTCGCGTCTTAGAAACTCGTATGATCTTAAAGTGATGTATACCTAATGGTACACGTATACGTAAATTTGTACGTACACACTCTTTTTAGGTTTTTAACGATACCTTGTCATACATTTTCCATAAAAAGAAACGACATGTGCATGATTACAAATATCCTCTAATGTCTATACATGTACATACAAACATACATGTTTAAGTGACAATTTGAAAATATCTGTAAACTTGCTATTTTGTTTTTGACAGCGCTAGTTTGTTGAAAACAACCCTCTAAACTCTCACCTATATTGAAGTAAATAAAATATTTATGATGTCTTTATAATAGAAGCAGGATGAGAAAAAAAATAGTTTATTCAGAAACGATCATGATTAAAGCCTTATTAGTTAACCCACTGTCCACCTTCATGAAGATGAGTTATATTCGATACACTTTTGCAGGTGTATTACGTGTTGTCTCAGGTAAATCTATCACCTGTGACAGGTCTCGTGCTATCCGATCAACAGGTTATCGAATAGAATCGTAAATTGTTATCTGATTAATCGGTGTATTGTTTTATTAATGATTTATTGATCGTGTTTAATCAGACAGACTCGCAACCGTGAATGAGATTCATTGAATTACTACAATTGATTGACAGGGATCAAATTTCCAGAGGCAAAACCAAACATGCACAGAGCATCTGTTCCATCTCCACAAACAACACATACATAATTTAACGTAAACCAAAATGTAGGTTACACGTAGCTATATCAAATACCCTCAACATTGGAAATTGAGAAATTAAAGATCATACGTGTGTGTCATGGATCATCGAGATCAAATCGACTACTAATGTAACACTGCAATTTTACGAGCGTGCCAAAATGCCAATCAAATAGCGTCAAAGCCACTGAATGATACCACACATGTTGAAGGAAGCATACCTCACATCCCTCGTGCACCTGGTCAACTCGTGTCTGCCGCTGCAACCGTCGACGCAGCGAGAGAAAGGTAAAATCTTCCCCACTATTTACACTATATTCTCCAAGCACGCTGGTGTCGTTGTCAGGGGGCGTTCTCAATAATTGATTGACGTAATTTTGACTATCATTTGATAGACCTCTGAGTTATTTCTATCTCTTCAAAGTAAAAACTAGATGAGTTCCGATCGATTGATTGGCGCACATTTTTTGTGACGTAGTACACACTTCCGGTAAAATTTCGTGAAGGAGATTAGAACACAGGTAAAAATCTCATCTCTATTTCTTTTCTCCGGTCCAAGGAAGACACTTCAATATATGGTAGTGTTTCTTTATAGAAGTCTAGCTTTCGTATTCTTAAAGAACATTATCATGTCCGACAACGATGACAGTTCTTTGAAATACAAAGACTTGTCATATTTCAGACACTATGAGATCGGCTGCAAGAATTTCGTCAGATTTTTTGTCACAAAATTCACATCGGAGAATTGATTTATGAGCTCCTGTGCCAAGATTTCTGGCAACAAAAACATACAAATGGAACATGTTGATGAGTATATAAATTATGTAACAGAACGCATTATGTAATCGGCTAGATACAAGTACTGGAGCACGGCAAATCTGACTTTACGTTTCTAGGGCAAATGTAAAAAGTCCAGGTGAGGTCCGGTCATATTTCTTACGTGCAGATCAAAACAAATGGATGGCGAATCATACAAGTCAGTGAAGTGAATGTTATTTGGCATATTTGTTCAATTTCAGGCGAGTTTTTAAAAAAATTCACCGTTACATAATTTCAGTATCAACTACACTATGGCCTTAATGACCTTTTGTGTGTTGACGAGCCGTTAAGACAGTAATAATTATAATTAACTATACTTGCTATTTAGTAACAAACTTTATAACAAGTCCATCAATTATGGCATCATTTATTCATTGTGTCATCTGCAGATAAGCAGATACACTTTCAGCATTATGTTTTCTTGAAAAAAATTATAACCTGCATTGAATGTGAATTGTGTGAAGGAAGCAAGTGAAATATGAGGTGTGAGTAAAGGGATGCAAGTGTTAAAAATTGCGATGAAAAAATTCAACCAACTCAACGTAATATGACAAAAAAACATGTTTTACCTACTTGGTATCTTGGTTTATTTACTGTCCATGTTTTATGATGTGCACACCAGGATTGTTACCAGGTATGGCTCATTTGTTGAAATTTGACCTATATGCATATATCAGATTTTGACTATATAGTCAAATCTGCCAATAATAGCCAGATTTGCCAGTGTTCCAGTTCCTGAAATAGTAAAATTTGACCATATATATATATATATATGTGTGCAGGTACTGGAACACTGGCAAATCTGGCTATATATGTGATACTGCTCAAATACCTGCAGTGAAGGGTAAATGTAAACCTATAGGTGGGGTCCGTTTTTTTGTACAGATCAAAAAACATGTATCATGAATAATGTAAGCAGGCAAATTTGATATTCATTCCATTTTTGCTCAATTTCAGGCCATTTTTGAACAAAATTTCACCTTATGTATTTTCAGTACCCACGTACACTCGCTATCTAGTAACAAACTCTATAGCGAGTCCATCCAATACGGCATCATTCACTCCTTGTGTCATCTACAAATAAGTATCACTGTTTCTGTGCAAAAAATTTATAACCCGCAATGAAAATGGATCATGTAATGGAAGAAAGTGAGATATGAGGTGTTTTGATAATTTTCATGTTTCACCATTGGAACATTGGGATAAAGGGATGCAAGTACCAAAATTTGCATTTTTGTTTTACCAGCTGACTAAATTCGTTGTCCATTTTTGATGTGGACACCATGATCACAGGCGCCTTGTAATAGTTACCACATTAATGAAGTAATAAATCAGCCAGCCGGTGGCTTCATATGTTAAAGGAGTATAGAAAGATAATCTTTTTGTATATTTGTCTCGTTAAGACTCTTGGTTGAAACAAAGGTGACCATGTATTGTTTTTAGTACTTCTAGCCATTATTAACAAGGTCTGCATTTTGATTGGCCTCTGGTTCCTATGTTCCTCAAAATGTCTATCATCTTATGTACTTGTAGTCAACTTCAATATTATATGATACCAATGGAAAGAGGGTAGGATCTCATAGGACCTGAATGGTGGTAATTAGAAACAAACCTCAGCAATCATACTCAGAAAGATAGAAATAGTAACTGTATTATCAGCTAGGTGTCCTTTTCACATATAACTTGTCCATATCTATACTACAGGTACATGGACATCTGCTGTTATACATTTCAGGTTTATTAAAAATTACTGAGGTGTTTAGTCACAGATTTTGTCCATCAAATGTCTGGTATTGGAGCAAAGAAAACTCCAGCTTTCTACTGTCAAGCAATCACTCACACATACAATGCTTATATGAGTTCTTTCCTCTATAAGGCCAGTAAAAATAACATTCCACAAAGATTACACTCTAAAGTGGCTTCTTAATTTGTGGACGCCATCTCCAAATGACCTTAGCTGTTACTAGACTCTTGATCGGATTTTTCCTCTGGACCAGATATCAGACATTTTGACAGATGCCTGATTCATGGTAACTTTAAATATCTCGTGTTGGATCCAGAGAAATCCTGTGATATCGAGACATAAAATTGTTTATCTTGTAGTTGAATCTATCTACTAATCTACTGATTAAGTTTCTAAGTGACTTGAAATCCCAAAGGCGATAAACATATAACTTAATAATTTTCATTGGCTGAGCTATTCAAATATGTTTTCAATGAACTGTTATGGAAAATTAATTTACAGTTTATATGCAAATTATACTTAAAAAGGAATTGCTATCAAACAACTTAAATGCAAGCAAGCCACACCAAATATGGAAGTAGTGAATTGATTAGGAATGCTACAAACAGTAGAAAAAAATCCAACGTGCAAGAAATCTAGTAAAAAATGTCCCTCTTTGGTACCCTCAAGAATTGTTTTCTCTATATTTGAGTTCTAAACTTTCTTTTTTTTTCAGTTATAAAACAAGGAAACCTTTTAAGTAAATATCATCATGGCTAGTCGTTACCTTGCCCGTATATCCTCCAGACTAGGAGCACAGATGAAACCTTGGCGGACATCGAATATGACTTATGCTGTGTTACAACGGTCTACACAGAAGAATATCTTGGTCACAGCACCAAAATATTTGTCCACAACACCAGTCAGAAAGTGTTTAGTAGAGACCAAGTTTGAAGCTTTCAATGTTCAGGATACAGAAGACTACCAGAAAAGAGTGATGGAAAGTAGTGTCCCGGTCATTGTGGACTTTCATGCGTCGTAAGTGATTGGTTTGTGTTTTTTTTTAGGTCATTTGCCCAAGTGAGCTTATGCTATGGGATGGCGTGGCCTTCCCCATTTTTTCAGCGTAAACTTTCCATTTGAATGACTTCTTCTCAATAATGAATAAGGGAAATGTCATGATATTTGACTAGTAGAATGTGGGATGAGGCCTGCCAAAGTTTTCGAAAAGAAATTACCTTGCCCACAAGGGGCGAAATTTGTCAATACTTTAAAATAACTTCTTCTGATTAACCAAAAGTTGCAGAAACATGTTTTTTTTATTGATGGGTTTCTAGGATGAAACCTGACAAAGTTCACAAAGAGACAGGACCCTGACCCTAACTCAAGGTGACAGGGATCAAATTTATCAAAACCTTAAGATGTCTACTTCTGATTAACCAGAAGTTCTAGAAGCATGGTATTTGGCTTGTAGGTTCCTAGGACAAAGCACAATCAAGCTTGCAAAAAGAAATGGCCATGGTATATATTCATGATCACAGGGGAATAATTTGTTAAAGCCTTTAAGCTGTTTTTTGATTAGCCAAAAGGCATAGAAGTATGATATTTTGTGGGTTGATCAAGTTTGTCAAAATTTGTAAAAGACTTCTAGTAAACCAACAGTGGGAATCATGATATTTGGCTGGTAGGTCTCAGGGATGAAGTCTGAAAAAGTTTGCTGAAAGAAATTACCTTGACATTCAGGGTCACAGGGGTCAAATTTGTTAAAATCTTAAAATGTCTTTTTCTGTATAACCAGGAGATAAAGGATGAAGGAATTTGGGAAAAGAATTTACCTTGACCTAAATTCAAGACCACAGGGGTCAAATTTGTAAAGACTTTTAAGCAACTTAAATATCATGATATTTAGCTGATGTATTTCTAGTATAAACTTTGACAAGGTTTGCGAAAAGACATGTATTCAAGATCGCAGGGCTTAAATTTGTTAGACCTTAAACAGTTTATTCAGATTAACAAAATGGCACAGAAGCATGGTATTTGGCTGGTAGGTTTCTAGGATGAAGGCTGACGAATACTATGAAAAGAAATTACCTTGACCCATATTCAAAGTCACAAGACTTTAATCATTTTTTTCTTATTAACCAAATGTTTTAGAAGCATGATATTTGGCAGGTAGATCTCTTGGATGAAACCTGACAAAGTTTGCTAAAAGAAATGAACTTGAACCTATTTCAAGGTCACAGGTGTCAAATTTGTCAAAACCTGTGAAAGACTTCTGGTAAACCAAAAGTCTAAGAAGCAGAATATTTGGTGAAAAGGTGTTTCAATGTGAAAGCCATGCTAATTTTGTGGAAAAATCCATTTACTTTTAGTCCAGGTCATAATTGCCATAGTTTAGAGTTGAGTGTTAGAGGCTAGAGTTTGTTGTGGACATTGGTTAAAATTGATTGGATGTGCCAAACAGTAGTCTAAACTGTAGAGATAGACCCTGTTACAAATGTAGAATGGGGATCTAATGGGTTTTATGTGCTTAAACTTGATCTTGGATCTTGCTCTCCCACAGATCAAATAATGTTAGTCTGTATATACCAACTCCAATCTTATTTAAGGATTTATTTGGAGTGCTTAATCCCTTTACTTATTTGGTGTTGTGCAGCGTTAGTACATGTGTGTCATTTTTGTTGAAAATTACAACATTGGACATGTACATTGGTAAGTACATGTATATGCTTAGAAAATAATAACACTGCAAAAGTAAGTGTAATGCTTAATCTGAAAAGTTTTGTTGATGTCACAACATTGACCATGATTGTAAGTAAGAGTTGTAGAAATGGCCAAATTACTAACTGATACATTTTGTAATGCACATTAAAGTTTTGACTGATGTGTCTTGAACAAGATACATGTTCCTATCAATATTCTAGTCATTTGGACTTTTTGATTGAGACTGCCAAGACTCTTTGGATCTCCTGTTAGTTGATTTGAACAACTTATAGCTCTCATACCATTTACTGTTTCGCCTTTTTTCAGATGGTGTGGTCCATGTAAATTGTTAGGACCACGTTTGGAATCCCTTGTTTCAAGCAAAGGAGGAAAGATTGCCTTAGCAAAAGTAGATGTGGATGACAACACAGACCTGGCTATTGAATATGGGGTAAGGAAGTTCTGGATGTACATGGGAGACGGGGGGATAGGTCAGTCAGTAAAACATCAAACTTGGTAATGATTCTCGGGTAGGCTTTGTTTCTCAGATAGAGAAATCAGAACTCCTTGACCTTCTGTATTGTAATGGTTGTGTTAGCGGGCAAGACACTTGACTTTAATGCAAAGTGTTTCCAGTGTGTTGTTTAATGAGGTAGCCACCTACAGCTACTAGTTAACTTTGTCTCCAAATGAACACAGATGGCTATAGACAGGGAGATAAACCAAGCAAAAGCAAAAACAAAAAACAAAAACAAAATGAAAAAATAGATAACAGAGAAAAGAAAAAAGCAAAACAGAAGGAATAAACAAACAAACAACAAGATAGTTTGAGATAATTAAGGCAGTGTTAACTATTGAATGGTTTGTACTTGGCTTTTGAGTATTGAATAAAACAGGACATTGCACTCATTTTTTAGTGTTAGGCAATTTAGCAGAAAATACTGCATAGATATGTGGACCTAAGCTGAAAATCACATTTAATCTGTGTATTTTTTATTAAGGATTTTGCATATTGAAAATTCGGCCTGAGATGATTTTCACAACTTGGGAAATTATGGAATCTATCCATTAGTCCATCAGTAATCTTACACATGAATTAATTGCAGTTGTGCCCCTTGATCAATGACTTAACAACACAACCCCTACCTTTCGATGTTCTGCTGCTACAATAGTAGTTTTGTACTTGTTTAAAATTCATCCCCTATAGAATAATTGTTGACTTCTTTAGGTTTAATACCTGACAAATATCACAACTATTCCACATATATTTTCCTGATAAAACTGGTTTAACCAGTATTGTGCCAAATCAGACACTAAACATATACTGTATGTTGCTACTTGGGTTATTGCAAGTTAAGTAAACATGTTTCCAACTTGCTTATTTCTGATCACAAAATCTGTTATATGATACAGGCGTACATTTTATTTAAAGGAATAGACAGATTTTTAATTCTGATTTATCATTGGTAAATAATTGACAGCAAAACAGAAGGCAAGAACATTAAGTAAGTGTTAGTTTTATTCATTTTCAAGTAAGTAAATTTGTATCTCAACTCACAAGATTCTAGAGATTATGATAACCTGTTTTAAACATTATATTTTTCCTTGTTTGTTTTCCAGGTAAACAGTGTACCAACAGTCCTTGGAATAAAGAATGGAAAAGTCCTTGATAAATTCATCGGACTTCAAGAAGATGATAAATTAAACTCCTTTATTGAAAAATTAATCCACTGAAGGAAGAGGTTTGAGAGAAAACATGATAAAGAGACCTGACTCGACTCTGATATCAATAGAAAATTGAAAAAAAAAAATACTGAATGAACTTTCAATCTTTTTTTGTTTAAGATTAAAATGGTACAAAGTAGAACTTTTAGATTAGACCATTCAAATGATAAGGTGAAAAAGTACCGTTTCTCTTTATTTGATGTTTCTGTGACAGAATGTTTACTTGTGTTGTGAAGAAATCTTTTCCAAGTATTGATTTTTTCTTTTTCGGAGATGTTTTCACTTTTGGAATAACAGATTTTGTAATTTTTTCTTTATCGTAGATCTGTCCATATACAGGCTACATTACTTTTCAGATGTCTGGTGATGATGGATTTTGATTAGATTTGTTGATTCAAGTTTAAATCACTGTTGGTTATGTAATTATTGTGTCACTCTAATTAAGATTACATTCATATATAGTATTAAAGACTACATAATATATTATGTGAAATATATTATGTAACAAAGAGGTTTGAGGGAAAAATAATATAATAATTCATAAGACATGTACTACATGTATAAAAAATGTATGCAAATAATTTCTAAATTTAGAATTAATTTCTACTTATGATGCAATTTTATTTGATTTGAAAGATTTTTAAACTTTGATAGCTGTTCAACAATTTCACTAAATTGAAGTTATTTTTTTGGATAAATAAATATATGATATAAGAACATATAAAAATGATGAATTAATGCTGCAGTGATATTCATTATTTTATCAAAATATTATTACACTAATATTTCAATACCAAAGCAAACATATTGTGCATTTACTGCATGATCATAAGTAAAAAAATATTTTAAACTATCCTACATTTGTAAAATGAAAATCTGAATCAGAAGTCTAATATGCAGCCAAAGTGTTATGATCTTATGAAAAAAAGCATTGCACTACCACATTGTATTAAATTCAGAGCTGTGTCTCAAAATGCTTTGACAGTGAAACAGGTTTTGAATTTTTTTTTTATTATTATTATTTTTTTTTTTTGTATTTTGCATTGTATGGATGGGAGACATGTGTAAACTATCTAAAAGACAATCAAAAAGACTTAGATGCCTGTAAGTTGTCAACTTGAAATTGAAAGATGTTTACATATATATGTTACATAAGTGTGTAAGAGCTCAGTGTATGCAAAAAGGCTTGTCAATGCTGAAGGGTTTTAATATAAGTCCCAGAATTACTTTAACATTTTTTACCAGTGAGATATATTAGTTAGAAAGTGCTGAGATAACAGAAGAACTGTAATAAATGTCATAGGATGTCTGATTTTCCAGCTGTCAGATTTTGTGTACTGATCACATTGTTAATGTAGTAAAAGTCCTCAACTGTAGCAAACCAAGTTTGAAATGTCATTTACACTCACACCACAATATGTTTTATGATCAAGTTCATTAGGGCCAATCTGCTTTTCCTTTCCTTGTAATAAAATAAACTTATTGTGTGCAAGTGTTATGATTTGATGTTAGAAATGTAGTGCACAAGTCCCTGTGATGAAGATATGACACCTGTCTTTCATGATTTTTGTTAACCCAGCACACAAGTCCCTGTGATGAAGAGGTGACACCTGTCTTCCATGATTTCTGTTAACCCAGCACACAAATCCCTGTGATGAAGAGATGACAGCTGCCTTCCATGATTTCTGTTAACTCGGCACACAAGTCCCTGTGATATAGAGTAGTAGAAGCAATGTCTAGTCCAGCTTTAATAAAATATTTACTGATAGTGACAAAGAAGCAAGGGTATCTTATAGTATTCATTGTAGAAATGGATAGCTGTAAGTTTGCTCCTTGAAACTTCATGCAAAAAACAAAAAATTGTAGTTCAGTTATTTTAATTTTGGTGAAAACTTTCCTTGTCTCTAAAAAGTCTTTATTTAACATAATTTTTGTATAGAAATTTTCCTTTTCCCCATTTTTAATAAAAATGGTTTTGATATTGTTAGTGAATGGAAAATGATTTTTAGCAAACACTTGCTGTGCCTACCAAGTTTAAATGAAACATGTCAGACTTACATTGAAATATGTCAGGCATACATATTCAGTCTTGTGCTTAAGCAATGATGGGAATTTGATTCTTGGCGCAGGATTAAAACACATAAAAAATGAACAAGAATTGTTCAAATAATGTTTAAATAAACAAATTTTTAAAATACATACAAGTAGTTAATGTTATGTTTTTGGCTCATCACAATCTCTGAGTTGTCAAAGTGTCGGAAGATATCATCTTCAAATTACCTTAATTAATGTTAAAGAATTAAATCCTCAAACAAACAAATTCAAAATCAAACAGTGAAATGTGCCAGTCAGCTTCACATTTGATCTAATTTGTTTTCATAAAATCCTATGACATTTATTTTGAAAGTATAATGACAAGGAATTCAAATATTCTGTTTTCCTTTTTTTTAATCTTACAAAATTGGACAATTTGAAAATACAGAATATGAATTTGGAAGATTCTGATTAAATTTGGTACGTCAAAATGCAGTGTATAACCTCACACTGGGGTGGCATTGCAGGGCCATGCAGGAGAGGGAACAACTGAATTATTTAGAAAAGGAGTAATTTTGATATGATTTCATTTGAGACTCGTATGTTAGGGGTTCTGGTTTGGATTTATTAGGTTATCAGACCCAAAGGGTCAGGATGACCTGTAGCCATCATGTTTCATCCATCATCTTGCACCATGCGTTACATGTAAACTTTCCATTCAAACAACTTCTTGATAACCAAAAGGCCCAGGGTACTAATATTGGACCTGTAGCATGCTTGGATGAAGAGCTACAAAGTTTGTCCAAATGATTGACCTTGACTCACTTTTAAGGTAACAGGGTACAAACTTATGAATGCTCAGGATGGTGAAGTGGGGAATTTGTAATGCATTTGCCTTTCACCAAGGGGTCTGGGGTTAGATACCTGGAACAGACGTGAAAAGCTATGTGGTCATCTGTCTGACCATATGGGTCTTCCCCAGGTACCACAGTTTCTTCCCACTGCAAGACCTCTTGCACTTTTTCATCCGGGCCGACAAGAGTGATTAATATCAGCTAAAACAGCTTGTTTTGCAGTTGTGAAATAAATTTATATATATTAAATGTGTCAAAATCTTTAAGCAACATCTTATCAATAACCAAAAGGCCCAAGGTGCTGATATTGAACCTATAGCATGCTGGCAGCAAAGGCTACAGAGTTATTTCAGTGAATGACCTTAATCATTGTTCAAGGTCACAGGTGTTGAAATCCTTCAACATCTTTCTTCTAACTAACCAAACAGTCAAAGGTGATGATATGGGGCTTTAAAATACTTGTTATGTAGGAATACCTGGATCTTGTTCCAACATTTCCTGAAGGATGTTTGGGTGAAAGGGAATCAATTTTGTATGGTGAGTGGATTTCGGCCCCTTGGAGTGGGAGGGGTGCGTGGAAATAGAGAAATTCTTTAAAATCAATCCTCTGTTGAAACAATACATCTCCCACCCTTCGGAAAGAGGGAATGGGTCTTATAGGGGAATTAGATGCAAGTGTTTTAAATAAGTTTCCTTTAGTTTAGATAAATCAATTTCAGCAAACCAGATAAGCGATACAGGGCCAATGTAATTCTTGTTATCATAAAAACTGAATAATGCTATCCAGCCGTCCATCCTAGTCACTCAAGTCTACAGCATATCTCATAAACTAGTGTATACATTGCCCATTTCATGTAGAACTGGTGCCGATCTTATAGTACTTCCACACTGAAATTTACTGCTGAAAGCACCCAACAAGGCATTTCGAAGCATGTAGCAATGATATTGGGGAAAAACTGAAAGCACCCAGTAAGGACTTTGGAGCATGTAGCAATGATACTGGGAGAAGGTGAAAGCACCCAGCAAGGACTTCGGAGCATGTAGCTATGATACTAGGAGAAGGTGAAAGCACCCAGCAAGGACTTCGGATCATGTAGCAATGATACAGGGAGAAGGTGAAAGCACCCAGCAAGGACTTCGGATCATGTAGCAAGGATACAGGGAGAAGGTGAAAGCACCCAGCAAGGACTTCGGATCATGTAGCAATGATACAGGGAGAAGGTGAAAGCACCCAGCAAGGACTTCGGAGCATGTAGCAATGATACTGGAAGTAGGTGAATGCACCCAGCAAGGACTTCGGAGCATGTAGCTATGATACAGGGAGAAGGTGAAAGCACCCAGCTAGGACTTCGGAGCATGTAGCAATGGTACTGGAAGAAGGTGAAAGCACCCAACAAGGACTTCGGAGCATGTAGCAATGGTACTGGAAGAAGGTGAAAGCACCCAGCAAGGACTTCGGAGCATGTAGCAATGGTACTGAGAGAAGTTGAAAGCACCCAGAAACGCCTTTGGAACATGTAACAATGATATTGGGAGAAGGGGGCTTGTGTAACAATATGCAATTGCTAATGTATACTACACAAGTCCCCTCTACCAGAAGCATCTGGTCACAATATACTGACAAACTATTGGTTCATGAGACCCTTACAACTCTGGAATATCGTGGCAAAGGAACAGAATCCAACGCCTGCCTCAAAGAGGCAAACGCTCATCTCAAGTCAAAAGTGAGGTAGTATATTCAAGAATTAGAGGAAATACCAGATCCCAAATTTAGCTGCCCCTTATCATCATGAAATGGGGGAAAGTTGGTATAGTTCTTATATCCTCCCTATGGAACTATTTCAGTAGGATTCTGTGTTGTATAACTGATAGGTAATATCTAGTATACTTTGGCATGGCTGCTAATCTATTCTGGAGTTAATTTCTGGTTCACGTTTGTTGTAGAAGAAGAACATTCAATTTTTGTTTTTCTTTTGTTATTAACGTACTTTTTCTATTGTCGATTGGTGAAAAAATGTTAAATTGCCGTACTACCAATAATGAATTTTAAAGTTATCCTGTTCGTCGGAAATTATGGTGAAATACAGCGGGGCTAAGACAACTTCATGACGATGATGGTCATATGACAAGCGACTGACCAATCGTCATATGCAAAATCAATTGTCTGGTCTGGGTTAGGTTACTGCACAAAAATAAAAGCTTTACGTTATTCAGTTTGAAAGAAAATCTATATGCTCCGAAATCAAAATATTCTTAATATAGCTGTTCAAAGTGAAATCAATGTTAGATAGGGATTATATGTATCACGTGGTCCTGCCAAGGTCAAACATAGGTCAGTGTTTTATTACACACCAAAATAAGAGGTACATATCTTGCATGACCTAAAGGTGGTATAAACACTTCATTTATTGGATTTCTTCTGGAAGATGAAGTGAATCTGGTAATCGTTCGTTCAGACATTTATCTTGATGTGGAGTTTGGTGAAGCGACACTCTAGAATGAGATAGTGTTTATACAATCCGTTATACAAACACAAATGGTTGGACGGTCAGTATTCTGATATCGATTCCACTGACCATGGTCGCTTTACAACAACACTGGTTGTTATCTGTATGGATACAGAGAGAATTTGAAACGGATTAAATAATTAGTATTCAAGTTTCTACAACGATCACGTGGCGAGATGGGAGAGTGTTGAGTTAAGACGTCTGGTTTAGTTCAATCGGATACAAGTGATGTTCCCGCGCAGGCCGTAGACTGTTCTGGTTCTAAAGCAAAATATCTTTGTATGCTTTGCATGTAACTGTACTATGTCAGAGAGAAAAGAATGTCCAAGACTAAATTAATCCAAATATGATAAGACAAAGTGTTTCAGATATTTAGATTCAACTATTTGGTCAAAGCACCACGGTCCCCCGTTCATCATGTCTTTGAATCTTGGACCTATTTAACCATTACGCAATTAGTTAAGGAAGAAACCCCAAACCATGTGACTTTTATTGTTTTACTGTCCGGCAGAATAGGGGTCAGTTTGTGGCACGAAGTAGCCAGGTGATTAGGCTATAACAACTGACCACTGTCCAGCTTCTGCTACCGGACGTATTTTGTATTTACTCTTGCCAAATTGATCGCATGTCACAGGTGTATGCATGCGGATGACGGCTGTGACAGGAATTGGGCGAAAACTAATTATCATGGTAGAACATAAAATAGATGTATAGATTTTTTTTATTACAGACTAGAAAGTAAACTTTATTCAATTATCATAGATTGGACTACACAAACAATTGTTCATTTTAATATAAAGAAGCAAAGATAACACAGATGAACTACTACACGGACTTGCGTGGATACCTGGACAACTAGGCACAGGAAGACGTATTCTGGAAGCTTTTGAAATCAAGGTACGAGTGCTTTTTGATCTTTAAAAATAATTAAAATGTTTTCATCTTATCACTCAATTACATGTGAAATTTGATGTAAGCATGGATCGATGTATCGTGCGTGTACAGGCAAAAATCACGTATGAAAGTGCAAATACAACGTAGAAAAAAAATCAACAAATAAGTGATGCGTGAATTCCATGATAGAGGGATGTTTAGAGGTGGGATCGCAATGATGTAATCGATAACATGTCGGTGCGAGCGATTACCATTTAGTGAAAGAACAGGCTTCCGTGAAGAAACAGTCATATTTCGATAGAATAATAATAATAAAAATGATGAAATATCTTATTTAAGTTTCACAAAGTAATTCATATATAAAACATCTTTTTTTATGTAATATATATGAGAGAATTAATATCCGGCCAAGGATTGATCTACGAGGCATTATTAGATATAAGAACCAGCATAACATACAATATATAGTTTCTTTCAACAACATCAATTTAAACTGAATAACAAGAAGAGAAATTTCTAAAATAACTCCTAGTTATGTATACTGATAATATCCTATAAAATGCTTTCCGCATCAATATTCTTATGAGACTTAAAATGATCAAAATATGTACAAGTATCAGTTAGAAATAATTATATAAGATGTATTTTATATCTTAGTGTCAGCCGTATTCATACAAAATGCTACAATTTATTCAAGTGTAAAAATAGATGGTACATTAAATCTAAATCAAATCAACACTCCAAGGTTTCTCATCTTCAACCACAATATGACCTTTTAGTGTAGATTTTGGGTGCATTTAGCATAACTCTGGTGAACATGTGTATGTGTATATATTCTCCATATATAAAGTGTCTTAAAGTGTCTTAGTCATCCAAGAAACCGAGTGTGTGAATGTAAGATTAATCCAATTGCATTTAATTATCGGCCTTTATCCTCAACGGACCGTGAGTACATGTGATATCATTTAACAGAATGTTTATCAACACACGATACCATGTGGAGAATTAAGGAATAGTTGCTGATAATTTGTTCTCTTTAAAAGTAAATTGACAAAGGAGGCATAATTCGAAGTTTGAATTAGTTACATAATAATTGTAAACATTTGAATATAGTTGGCTTTACCTAATATATATATATATATGATGATGTATATATATATAAGTAACGATACCTTTCTCTGTGTACCTATTATGGTAGCGATGATGATGATAATAATGATGGATGACGATGATAAAACAGATGGATGTTGATGATGATAAAACAGATGGATGATGATGATAATAATAATGATGGATGATGATGATGATAAAACAGATGGATGATGATGATGATGATAAAACAGATGGATGATAATGATAATAAAACAGATGGATGGTGATGATGATGATAAAACAGATGGATGATGATGATAATAATAATGATGGATGATGATGATGATAAAACAGATGGATGATGATGATGATGATAAAACAGATGGATGATAATGATGATAAAACAGATGGATGGTGATGATGATGATAAAACAGATGGATGATGATAATGATAATAATGATGGATGATGATGATGATAAAACAGATGGATGATGATGATGATGATGATGATGATGATGATGATGATAAAACAGATGGATGATGATGATGATGATGATGATGATGATGATGATGATGATGATGATGATGATGCACATCCTCCTGATTTCGAGGGATTTCCTATCAAATAATTGAATGTATGATTATCAATATATAATTATTAATATAACTTTTGTGTTTGCAATCATTTTGTCTATGTATATTCCAGGAATTTCCTGCCACCAGTTATCACGGTTTTCCTATGTATGAACTATCTTGTCCAGTAAACAGGTGTAACTGGAAGGCTTGTCCTATTTTAAATACCCTTTTCTTTATTGGATATTCCTGTTCGATACACGAAAAGAAATAAGGAAATAGAATCTTAAAAGGTTTGTAGTTTGACTTCTGATATACTTTTCGTGACCACGGGGTCAAGGTTCATTTCTGTAACAAACTGTTTCTCAGTTTAACTCTATTGTTTCTAATTCTAATTTTGTATTGAAAGGTACAATCCACTTGCAAGACTTTTGTACAATCTTAATTTAAACTTGACATTAAGCATTTGCAACACTCATTGCCTTTTACACTATACAACCATGACATGACACTGATTATTATCAACTTGTTTTTTTTTCATATTAAAGAAAAATGACATCTGACGGCAACCTGACGACACCTGAGGAAGCAGACGACGGTTACCCTCCTCTCCTTATAGTTTTCATTGTGTTGCAGCAACTTGTTTTCAGCCTTTCCTGTGTTGGCAATGGTATCGTCATATATATCTTTATTCGTCACCTCCGTCTCAAATCCTTAACCAACCGTTTTGTCGTGGGACTTGCCGCCGCCGATTTCTTCACGGGACTTTCGGTCGGATCTCAGATATTTTATTTCTTATTTCCAAACCTGAACACTTACAGGGTGGCATGCTTCATCAGGTACCAAATGGTTGCATTTATGACGATGACATCACAGTTGACAGTGTCATTTACTACATTCGACAGATACATGGCGATTTGTCATCCCCATAGTTACAGTAAAGTGGTAACCAACATTACGGCGAATGTCCTGGTTACGACGCCATGGATTTATGCTCTCATTATAACGACGTCATCCTACATTGGACTTGAGCCACGGACAAGCGATTCCTTAAACTGTCTCTATCATCTCATATTCGAACATGGCGTCTATTTAGCATCGGCATTGACTATCGTCTTTTTTAGTATCGCATCTTTCGTCATGTACATGTGCATTTTACGCATTGCATGGAAATACTACAACAGAATACGTCCTTCCATCTCCTCCAGTTCCAATCCCAAAACACGTCAGAAGTCCACGGAGCGGGACGTCCGAAGTGCAAAGGTTATGGGAATCGTAACGACGGGGTTTACGGTTTGTTGGGCACCATTCACGGCCTATCAGTTCCGATATGGATTGGGGTTTGTTGACCTGACCATGGACGATATCAGTGCTTCCAATTGGCTTGTATTTCTTGGGATGACCAATAGCCTTGTAAATCCGGTGATATACGCTTGGCAGAGGAAGGATTTCAACAGAGCTTGCAGGAAGCTCTGTGGTCGAAACATTGACGGGAGCAATTCTACGGCCGGCTTCACTTCACATGTCTCAACAACGTAAACGTTTTCATGAAAAAAACATGGCAATGGAATTTTATATACCTCATAACTGATTATACAGTGATTTTATCTGTTAAGTATTACAATAAAGTAGCTATGAACAGATGTCTGTCAGTATCGAAGGTATTGGGGTTTTGATAAAAAAAATATTTTGATATTAATATCATAAAAAAGAAAATAGTAAAATGCTCACATAATGTCCGTTTATCCAGTTCCTATCTGTGAAAAGGCATATGACCCAACAGAGCATCATCAATGTTGTTAAAATCAATTATACCCTTACTGTCATTACCTTATCCGTTCATACATATCTCCATGATGCCGTTGGATGCACCCCTGGAACATTGCAAAATGGAAGGCACAAGCGAAGTAATTTTATTGGTTCCAGGAGAAATAAACTGACCAATTAAAGGCTGATACGCTTCTTTTGAAGATTACAAGTGAGCAACACGCAACTTCAAAGCTGTTACAATATGTGTTATGCGACCTCGAAATTCGTTTGATGTACATCAAAGGATCAAACTAATGTCGTTGTCTTGTTCACAAGGTGTCGCACACGAAACCTTCAGTTTTGCCATGACATTTTCCACAGATGCAGAGAGTGAAAGTGATTGCAACCCCTGAAGTATCGCGGATACTCTTCCTACTATATCTAGTGAAAAGAAATGTATTGCTTTCATGCCAATGAAAATTAGCTCAGTTCTGCGAATTTCGGCCTCCTTATTCATGAATCTTATACATTTCTTCAAGAATTGTAACTACCAGTGTAAATAATCTTCCTAGAAATATGCAATGTTGATACTTATTTTTTCAAATGGCAGTTCCATCAATGACCAAAATATATCCTAGCCTACTAAGTGTTGAAAGACATTAATGATGGACCCCTTTGGCGCGCCATTCACACCAGATACATTCCTATAACGTTTATTCATTATTCCTTTGTATCTGGTTGTTGAAAAATGATGCTCGCTTATTTTTTTAGCTCACCAAGGCTGAAGGACAAGTGAACTAATGCCATACCGCGGCGTCCGTGCGTTCGTCAATATTTTTCATAAAAATCTCGACTGCTACTGCCTCAATTTGGTCTGAAGCATTCGTGGGTAAAGCGGATCGATTTTGAATAAACGGTGGCTCTCTGGCTTCCGCGGTCAGGAGGGAAGGGCTAAACTTTATACAACATTTCTTCTTCTGTTAGAATGCCTAGAGTCTATCAAAATTTAGTCTGAATTATTCTTAGGTGGTGGAGAATCAATTTGGTATAAATGGTGGGTCTCGTCCCCCGAGCGGAAGGCACATTTGAGAAACCGAGGAAATTCTTTAAATCCCTACTAAATTACAGGACTTTGTCCAAATAAGATATGAAATATTTTTGCATACATTTTCTATAAATGAACGGTCAGACTCCCTAGGGCAAAGGAGTCAACTCGATGTAATAGAGAAAAAGCAAAGCTGGAAACTGTGCCTTTCCAAATTTGATGAAGGCTAATTTTGATCTGAAGTATCAATTGATTGGAACTATTTAATACGGAGAAAACAAAGGATTTAGTGTCTGAAATCTGGTTTCTATCTCGGTGCTATATAAATTGAAATACATTGTCACAAATATTTCTGCTGACAGAAAACAACAGCCCACTTTATACACGCTATTTTTCAAAGGGCGCTATGGAGACAACATGCAGTTGAATAATGAATAATTGAAAGTTCCAAATAGAAGACTAGTTTGATCCTTTGATATACATTAGTCGAATCTCGAGGTCGAATAACAGTATGTTATACTGACTTTGAAGTTGGGTGTTGCGCCTTTGTAAACTTCAAATGAGATTTTCAGTCTAAGATTGATAAGATTTTTCCTGAATCCCCCACTAAACTAATAGAATTACTTGTTACTTTTTTTTTACCATGAAATGTTCCAGGGATATAGAGAGTGATACTGATCTTAACCCCATTTAAAATAATTCACTGAAATATTTCATTTCTTTTTTTTTTTTTATTTTTGAAGGTAAACAAGCCATACTGTGGCAATGATGTTTGCTATGTGTAATTTATACGCATTTCAAAATATTGTGTTAAAAAAATCAATTTTCATTTTATTTCAAGCTCTGAAATACGTTGTTGCATTCTGAAGCCATTCCTTCCACCATTATTCAGCAGACTTGCTGAAGTTTCATCGTATTTATATTGTCAATTGTAATATAAATGCCCTACTATCTACGAATGTCCTGCTATTAGGCAAAACTATTTAGTCAACGCTAATATGATTGTCTCACTATCTAGTAAACGCTACTATGAATCCCCGTCTATGTAGTCATCACTAATATGAACGCCCTACTGTCTAGTAAACGCTGCTATGAATCCCCGTCTGTCTAGTCACCACTGATATAATGCCCTACTATCTAGTAAACGCTACTATGAATCCCCGTCTATCTAGTCAAAACTAATATAATGTCTTGCTCTCTAGCAAACGCTACTATGAATACTCGTCTATCTAGTCACCACTAATATAATGCCTTTCTCGTAAACGCTACTATGAATACCCGTCTATCTAGTCAAAACTAATATAATGCCTTACTCTCTAGTAAACGCTACTATGAATCCCCGTCTATCTAGTCACCACTGATATGAACGCCCTACTCTCTAGTAAACGCTACTATGAATCCCCGTCTTTCTAGTCACCACTAATATGAACGCCCTACTATCTAGCAAACGCTACTATAAATCCTCGTCTATCTAGTCACCACTAATATAAACGCCTTATTATCTAGTACACGCTACTATGAATCCCCGTCTTTCTAGTCACCACTAATATGAACGCCTTATTATCTAGTACACGCTACTATGAATCCCCGTCTATCTAGTCACCACTGATATTAACGCCCTACTATCTAGTAAACGCTACTATGAATCCCCGTCTATCTAGTCACCACTAATATGAACGCCCTACTCTCTAGTAAACGCTACTATGAATCCCCGTCTATCTAGTCACCACTAATATGAATCCCCTACTATCTAGTAAACGCTACTATAAATCCCCGTCTTTCTAGTCACCACTAATATGAACGCCCTACTCTCTAGTAAACGCTACTATGAATCCCCGTCTTTCTAGTCACCACTAATATGAACGCCCTACTATCTAGTAAACGCTACTATGAATCCCCGTCTTTCTAGTCACCACTAATATAATGCCTTACTCTCTAGCAAACGCTACTATTAATCCCTGTCTATCTAGTCACCACTAATATAATACCTTACTCTCTAGCAAACGCTACTATGAATCCCCGTCTATCTAGTCACCACTAATATGAACGCCCTAGTATCTAGTAAACGCTACTATAAATCCCCGTCTATCTAGTCACCACTAATATGAACGCCTTACACTCTTGTAAACTCTACTATGAATTCCTACTATCTTGTCACCAGTAATTCGCACATCACTGTTCTTAATGTTCATAACCCTTACTCAAATGGGTCTAAACCAATAAGTGTTAATCATTAATATTATTAGTTTTCCTTTTCTTAACACAACGGTTCTACGTGTATTGCACTAGGGAGGAAATAGAATATGTGCCGACAGTCAGTGTGTCAGTTTGTCTGCTCATGTGTATATAGATTTAGGCTGGTTATCTATGACAGATTTGTAGTTATACATGTGCGATCCAATGCCACGCACTATGAACCTTACCTGACTTACAAAACTTGTAATGGGCGGGTGCAGACTTGCTGTTAAAACTAACATATTTAGGAAACCTATGCAATACCCGTAGTGATGTTATAAATAGCTACGGGCACTTGGACTTGAGTCAAAACTCCTCCTATCTTATGCTATTGATACAAACATAATACAAAACGCAAGGGAATCACTGACTACATCGGGCCATCTGGATAATCTCCTATACGACATGCGAGTACCAGGGATTTAGGATTAACACCTCAAACGTGTCATGATGGCCTCCAACACCCGGATACCAAAGAGGGCTAGATCTGGTAAGTATGGACGAGATATTGATGACCTCTGTACAGGCTGAGTTTGAGATTGATGTGGTTGTAAGTGTTGTCAACCGATCGGAACCCTACTACACCATGTTCATTTCGATGACAACACACAGAGACACCAAAATGAGACGTCTGAATTCGTCTGCTTTTGATTGTCAGAACCTGAACTGGGTTGATGTCGGCAGAGAAAACTGTATATATATATATATGAAAATGGAAGCATTTAAAAGGAAGGAAAAACAACATTATTTCAATTCAGTTCAGGACATACGTCAAATTGAAGGAGGAAGCAAAAAGAGGAATTCCCAAATCACGCTATGGAGTGCTATGGAATGTGTTGACTCGATTTTGGCAGAGTACTGTTAAACTGCGCAGTTATCGGAATGCAAATATGTCGACCAAAAATAGATATACATATGAATTTTACAGTTAATGTCACCGACAAACTAGGTTTAAAAAGTATCACACATATGTATGTGTAATTGACGTTTAAATCAAACATATAACAAAAACAGTTAACTGTTTGTTTGTTTTTATTCAACTTACACAGTTAATGTTTAAACAGAATACCTTAAGACATGGTGTATCATTACATGCATAACCTCAAGCTAACGCAGGATGTTATATTTTAGGATTTATATGTTGGGTCAAAATAATTGTAAAATGAAAACTGAAAATGAAAAATTAAATCAGAGATCAGTAATTGTACAGTTAATGTTAGAACAATTGTTTATGTGTCCGTGTAAAATTATGATACCCTGAATCAAGGTAGTATACATCTAGAAGTAAGCATTATTTCCACAATGTAGAATTTTTAGTGGATTAGCGCTACAACGCTTCGATGTTAGAATTGTTAATTCAGTGCGGCGTAGTTACAAAACTGAACTGTATTTATTTTTGCTCAGTGTAGTGCTATGAATTAGCATCCGCCAGTCTCGAAAGACTAAGGTAGTTGCCCATTAAACTAGCCTGTGCCGGTGCAGTTTTGTGCTGCATGATCTGCTGCAGGTGTTCACATCTGACTTTTCTCTTCTGCTCGGTATGTCTACATATGTTGCGGTAGGGGACTTCTGCTTTTAAGTCTGCTGGTTCAGTTGAGCATTTCAAATGGTCTCTCTAGCATATTATTTGCTTTTAGTGTCTTGTTAATTCGGTGCAACTATAGGTCAGTGGCATTAAAGTCTCTGCAGAACCTGCGGAAGTCAATGTCGTTAAGTCTGTGCGGTACTAGAGTGTTGATGGTGTTATATTAATTAAGTGTAGTAACACGGACTTCAAATAGATGCCTTTATCAAAGTATGTGGTAGTAGTGCAGGTTTGTAAGTTGTGTAATCATTGCCAACTGACATACCATTCCATATTTGAATATGAAACGTTTGCAAGTCATATTTTACTACAGAAAGTTAAACGATTAATTATTTTTGAAAAGTTGTTGCTCGATAAATAAATGTTTTATTTCATTGTGGACCCGCTAGGAAGCTGCTTGTGTTATCATGATATTATACATATACTGTATCTAATAGATATCGAACTTCGCTCACCAGAAAGTACCATGTATATCAGTCGAGATAATTCAGTCGGTAAATTAACAGACGGGACTATACATGTTTACACTGATAAGGGTGATAATGTGTGATAAGATTTCTTATCTCAGGACAGGCTGGTTTGTGTTCAGTTATAGTATCTTCAGTTATCTAGACATTAAACAAAGGCGTCGATGTAATCTAGCAACAATAATACAACCATGATTATATACATACATATATACATAACCAGTTACATTTTGTACTGTTTGTATAATCGTGTTTTTTATTAGGATCGGTCATAAAAATTCATTTTAAAGAACCTTCTGTATAGAGGGTAAAATTCCACACATCTGCTTCTAAAGTTTTTTAATGATAACTGAAATCAGTTATTGTATCCAATCTTGTAAGATGGCCCTGGTTAAAATGAGTAAGACAGCACTTGTGACAGGTTATTCTGTGTGTGTTAATACACGGGTTTCAATCGCATTTTTCGAAAATATCATATTTGAATTACTTTATTAGTAACCAATGAAATCATATCGAGCATGTTCTGTACAGGTAGAAGTCACACTACATACATAAATTGTATATAAAGACGACTCGCTATCCGTTTATGCAATCACATGCGGTAAAAACTTAAGTATATATAGTTAATGTATATACATTTCTGTAAACCGAACATATATATACATGTTCAAATATATAAGTCTTGTCAGTACGTCAATTTTGCATATTGATACGTTAAATAGTAACGCTTGCTGTCATACAAGCCAAAATAACAGAGAAGACATATTTTAAAGGGTTAGGATAAAGTAGTTCAGTTACAAAAGCGGAAATAACATAGAGAAGACACATTCACAGCTGAAATAGCATAGAGTAGTCGTATTTAGAAACAGCTGAAATAACATAGAGTTGTCACATTTACAAACAGCTGAAATAACATAGAGTTGTCACATTTACAAACAGCTGAAATAACATAGAGTTGTCACATTTACAAACAGCTGAAATAACAGCCATACTTACAAACAGCTGAAATAACGTAGAGTTGTCACATTTACAAACAGCTGAAATAACAGTCATATTTACAAACAGCTGAAATAACATATTCACATTTACAAACAGCTGAAATAACATAGGGTTGTCACATTTACAAACAGCTGAAATAACATAGAGTTGTCACATTTACAAACAGCTGAAATAACATATTCACATTTACAAACAGCTGAAATAACATAGAGTTGTCACATTTACAAACAGCTGAAATAACAGTCACATTTACAAACAGCTGAAATTACATAACATATTCACATTTACAAACAGCTGAAATAACAGTCACATTTACAAACAGCTGAAATAACGTAGTCACATTTACAAACAGCTGAAATAACATAGAGTGAAATAACAGTCACATTAACAAACAGCTGAAATAACATAGAGTTGTCACATCTACAAACAGCTGAAATAACATAACGTAGTCACATTTACAAACAGCTGAAATTACATAACATATTCACATTTACAAACAGCTGAAATAGCATAACAGTCACATTTACAAACAGCTGAAATAACGTAGTCACATTTACAAACAGCTGAAATAACAGTCACATTTACAAACAGCTGAAATAACATAGAGTTGTCACATCTACAAACAGCTGAAATAACATAACGTAGTCACATTTACAAACAGCTGAAATAACGTAGTCACATTTACAAACAGCTGAAATAACATGGAGTTGTCACATCTACAAACAGCTGAAATAACATAACATAGTCACATTTACAAACAGCTTAATTAACATAAAGTAGTCACATCCACAAATGGCTGAAATAACTGGATATATATCATATATCATTGAACATATTACATCGTTTGTGTTAACACTGACTACAATTCAAAGCTTGCCAAATTAACAATGACACTAAAAAGGTTATGGGTTGTGTTTGTCTATACATATGTTTATTGGAGAATCAATGAGACGATAACATACAAAACAGACAGGTGGATTTGCATAATGACAAAAGCAAATTTAGTACACACAGACGTCTTATTTGATTAAGAAGTTTGTATTGTCTGAAAGCAGTCGTGAATAAGAGCAATGGCATTATAGGAATTAATTGATGTAGATTTCTTGTAATTATTAATGTGAAAGTGAAAATATTCGAGAAGAAATATTCTGATAAGTTATCAGATCGAATCTATGCCATCTTCCCCGGTGTACCTTGATAAAATCCTTGTTTTGTGTGATTGTCTAATGTTCAGTTAGGGTGTCATGCTATGGCAGCAATGTTTCGGGTGATTTCTTTTTTTCTAATTTTGCTATTGTATTTTAGAACTTATGGAATTTATTCGACTTGATTCTCCTGATGCCAAAGAGATATTGAGAGAGTCTCAGCGAACGAATCTAATTGAGAAAAACACAGAGAGGATATTCCGTACGATCTCTATGTGTTTAGTCCGGAACACCAACCTGGTCAGGAGATACGAGAGAAGAAGGAAGAGTCTCAGAGACCAGGTAAACAATCAGTAATATATCCTTCCTTCCTACTCTTTTCTTCCATGGCAAAGGCATTGTAAATTTGTAGAGTTTTAGGACTTCGGTGGCATATGTTCTGTCAATTAAATATATAATTAATTTTCCAGGGTAGAAAACCAAAGGAATTGGAAGATAGACTTCTATTTGCTGAAGAATCTTGGCCAGAGATTCAGAAGGTGTGCAGATTGGGACCAAATTGTGAAAAGACACGAAATGTTCTAGGCGACAGTCAGTTCGGTCTTCACCTCAACAGAAACTATGACATCCTTTTGAGGTACACGGCGTGTACGAAAGCTGAAGGGATCAGGTTCTTACTGGTCTTTAAGGTAAGAATGTACTTCTTTGTTGTTGACATTGACATTATTACGTATAATTCCGTGTACCTACTTTTGGATATTTTTGTGCGTGCTCTTTGAATAAAAATGAATTCATTTGATCTAACAATATGCTGGAAACTTTTGCCAATATTATTTGTTTTCTTGTAAAGGCTATGTTCGGAAAAGTGAAATCTGTCACACCAAATCTAACTGATCAGTATCAGCGCAGCATCGAACCAACTCCAAACTACGATACACACATCTCCGTCATTAAACCAGACGCCGATATGGGAATATGTGATGCACAAGACCACAACTTAGTAAGTACTGTTTAATATAAACAAAAATATATACAACTAATAGAAATTAAAGGTAAAGTGAAGTTAGTATGTTTAAGACTGTGTTACATTAACATTCGCCTCTAGATTACATTTTATGCTCATAAACAACCTAGGTATTTCTGTGATGAGTTGATATATTAATGTAACTTAATCAAAGTGTAATATGTATTCTCCAGAAATAAAACGGAGTGACGTATCTGTTATTTGCTACAGATTATGCTAGAAACCAAAGTATATATGTCCCAGCATTGCAAGCATATTATCAACTAATCGCTTAGTTCCTTTAAGATGAGAAGAAACACCTTAGTAGTGAACTTCGCTAAACTGAACGCCATATGATAATATTCAAAATCGGGTTAATACTGCAAATATATTAGAAAACTATTACTCTGTCATAGCCTTGTTATTAGAGAAAAGAAAATCATGAAATCAGATTTTTCGGGTTTTTTATTTGTAGGCGTACCTGTATGAATATGACGAGGAGACGACACTGCCAAGCATGTCGCCATCGCAAATACTGCCTTTTGCTGTAATTAGCCTTCAACGAACAGAAGAGAAAATCATTGGTCCTCTGCGGACACCGTGGTCAAAGTTGAGGAAAAAAAGACAGTTGTCTTCTTTCAATCATACTTTTAAACAACAATTGAGCGAGGAAGCACACACTACACCTATTTCAAACATAGGCGTTTCCCTAAATACTGATTTGTCATCAACTGCACCGAAGGGAAAAGTTGCCGACATTTCAGTAGACAACATTAACGCCTGTTCCAAACGAGAAATAACAAATTCAAACTCGTTGGATAACGTTAGTACATTGGCATCTAACAAAAACGCCAAACGGAAATCACCAAAATCATCCCGTGGGTCTACACAGCGATCAGTCATGAAAGTATCTGGGGATCGGCCCAAATCAGTAGAGCAAGAAAAGACGGATAAAGGTCCATTATATGCAGATGTGGATTGTGCGCAACAGGATGAATCAGATTTACAATACACGGAATATTTCTGTGATCCACCCCTTGAACAGAAGTCCTCGGATGACACAAATATGTATCTGGAAATTGAAAATTCGTCTCCCACCCAGCATGCTTCTCCCCCTCCTACAGAACCTTCATCAGATAAGTCGCTTATTATTCATCGATTAAAAGAATTAGAACAAGAGATTCAGACGAAACAAAGAAAACTTCACGAGCTCAGACAAAGTCGACATTTATCGGCGAGGTCTAGAGATTCTATAACATCAGATGAGGACCTATCAGTAGAGGATTTCGTTACCGAGCAAATCGCAATGGCATCAAAAATGATGGAGCTAAGTGAGGAGAGTGAACAGCCATTAGACCTTAGCAAAGCTAGCACTATTCAATTTGATAATAAATTTAAAGATGAGAGTGTATCGACAACTGACAGGAATGTCTCTATTTTTACTCTAGATGAAAGACTACAACAAAATGCACATATTGATGGAAACCATGAAAACGAAGAAATGTTGAACATACAGTCAAATAACGACTGTTCAGGAATTACGTTAGCGGGCAATATAAACAAATTGCATCTGAAAATTAACGTCGATTCAGATCAGAATAATTGTGGTGAACTGAATCATGACATCCCTACACCAACACTGGACGAGCCGCAAGACATGTGTTGGATAGATACTGCTCAAACGGTCGTAGTTTCAGCAGGTCCTCTGAATAAATGTCGAAACAACTGGGATACCAGGGGATCTACTGTAGGAAAAGAAACTGATACAGAAGTAAGGAGGGAAATAAAACGTAATGATTCAGTTGATAGCACAAGCAGGTCTCAAACAGATGTAAGCATGCCATCTTCTTCAAAGAAGTGCTCAGATTTCTATGAAAATTATATAAAGAAAAAGAAGCGAACTATGGCCGATCATTTCAAACCAAAAGAAATATCAAATGTATCGGCAGGTGCTCTCCAACATTCAGACCAATGTAATATGATTGTGATGGGACTTGGAGATACTGAAAATTCGCATTGGCACCATACGTCAGCTGTCAAACCAAATGTGTCAGAAACGGTTGATCAACAACCAATGGAGGAAAATGAGCAATCAACCAACAATGTTTCTCCACAGGCGGAGCTTTGTTATTATAACAACAACTGTAAGGTTCTTAACTGGAGAGATCCAATACTTAATAAAGTTGCAACATTGGAGAGTGAATCCACGAATAGTAACAAGTTTGTACCTCAAGCAAATGGTGAAGACACAACACAGTCAAGCAAGGTAGATATTGAATGTATTGCAGAAGAATGCTATGAAGATGGTCATAAAAAACATGAAGACATACCTGATCATGCAGGCCCAATACAATATGAGTCAGATAAGGTAAAATGCTCGAAAATACAACGTGATTCTGACATTGAAGATAAGCATTCTGTTCTGGCTTCTCCGGTATGTGATAATAACACATCTCCGTCGTGTGACGAAACATCTGAGAATGTTTTGAATGAGATGCAAGTCGACCCAGAATCGAACAATTGTCAGTCAAATGCTAGGCACAATGTAGATAAAACTTTATCTACAGATGTTAAAAAAGCCTTGCAGGACCTCGGAGATGCAATCAAGGAGATTCAGAAAAAAGTCATAGAAACTGACGATAGCAAGAGTTCATCGATCATCAGCTCTCCGATTGAGGTGGAAGTGGAGATGGACACATCATTGAACACAATGTTTATTCAAGAAAATCAAGGTCAGCAAGCAATTTCTACAATTGTAACCGATCGCTTAGTTCGTCAAAACAGAGATAACGCTACCACAAAAGTACCTACAGTGATAGAAGTCAGTTGTGTGAACATGCAGAAGGATGTCTCGGAAAACGGAGCAATGGATACAGATTTAAGAAATGAATGCACTTCAATGTTAGACGTCAATGACGCAGTCATAACGCCTATGAAAAGTGTTGATAGCAATACCAAGTCTGAAAACCTTGAAGATAATCGGCCCATACAGTTTGAACTTAAGGCAAAAGACAAGGTTGAGGACTTAAATTGCGATGATTTCACACCGAAAAACCAAGGTTTCTCGTCTTTTTTGCAAGATGCAGGTTGTCAATCTGGTTTTGAAGCACTCTCTAAGGTCATTTTTCGTGATGGTGAAGCTATCAGAGGTAAAAATCAGCAGAAAGCAGATAATCCTCCAATTGTAGTGAAAACGGAAGCTCCAGATTCGTATTTTGACGAGAAATCAATGCAAATGGATAGCATAGAGGATGACTCAGTGCGGAAAGTATATATCACAAATGCTTCTCGGGAAAAGGAAAGAACCGCACATACAATATCAAACGAATTCATCTTAAGTCAAGAAATTGAAAAGACATTAAGTGAAATAAAAAATGATACAAACATTTCACACCAATTATATTCACCTGAAAATAGCAGTTTTCAGGAAAAAGAGGCCAAAACTATCAAACTTGAAAATATTCAATTATCACCATCTCATCGACCACGCAGCAGTGGCAGGAGCAGAAGTCGGAGCAAAAGTACAACTGTTTCGATAGCTTCTGATTTACAGAGGAAATCACATTACCGGCCACGCGAAGTGTCCCCAATTCGGGATCCTTCATTTGTCCCATTCCATGAAAAAGGTAAAATCCTCAAAAAATATTTCAAAAACAAACGAAAACGATTTGGATTGAAATGGGTTGGTAGAAAGCGATCACCAAGCGGCTTTAGGGTCCGCGCTGTTCACAAAGCTAAACTAACATTATACAAAAACTTTGTCTCACAAGGACCATCAGTGAAAAAACGGACGGATACAAGACGAGTCGTAAAAGTAGAAAAGAGAGATTCTGATGCCAATGATCGAAACTCATGGAAATCAAAATATTCCCATAAAAAAGCTTTTTTCAGGAATTCCAGCAAAGACGTTGCTGAATCTAAGTTCCAAGAAAGAGGACTGCGTTCTTGCACAAACAGACAGACGGTAAGACCCTGGCATAGAACTGGAACAATTCCGGACAATTTGATCATAGATAGGCATGGTATGATCATTTCCACGACGTCGCAAAGCAATCGGTCCGAGTCACGATTTCGTAATAACTCAAGGTTTGGCAGAAGAGTGTGCGATGAATCGGTCTTAAACAAACATCAAAGTACCAGAAGGAGTTTCCTGGAGCACAGTGAAAGTACAAATCGTAGTGATCTTCCAAGTTCTGAAGCTACGTTATCAAAAGCAATGACCTCTCTGCTCAAAAGGGTCTTATTTGATGGACCAAGAAATGACGGAAGTACTGAAGACAAAATGGCAGATATGATATTCGAAATGATGAAAAGGGTTACTAGAAAAGATAATGAACAATCATCAACGCTTGGCATTGATCATATAAGCCGCGAGGAGACACGAGGATTTGAGGAATTGCCTGTAGACTATTATCCAGAACTCTCGTCGGCTGTTCGATCTGATCGGTCGAGAGATCGATCGAGGAGCAAAGAAAGCTACTCGGGCAATTGGGAACGCAGAGAGGTATATATTGACAGTAAGTCGTCGATCAGCTGTGATAGCCGGGGCTATACTGACCATAGACGTAGTTATATGCAAACAAGTGATGAACGGAAGAATCACGAAGAACGGTATTACAACAGGACTGAAAATTGGTACGATAGGACCGACAGAAATGAGAATCCACGTTTCGGGGACAGGTTCGATGACCGCGGATGGGATAGGGGTCGTGAAAGATGGGATAACACAACGGATAACTTCAATACATTCAGCCGAAGTAATTTAAGTGAAAGTCATGACAAGCGACCATTTCAAAGGGATGACGGAAGATACTCGTCTAGATCATTTAACTTAAATGCATCTCATTTAAGGACGGGAAAGGATTTTTCATCTGGAAAAGGTTTCCGCAATTCAGATTTTCACAACCAATCCTATAGTAGAAAGTTTGAAAAATATGCATCTGAAAGAAAGTATCATCATAGAAACCGGAACAGAAAGAGTAGCAGAAATGCTAAAGAAATGCTTTGAGATCCACTAACGAGAGTATTCGCAGTACACTGATATATTTTTCGTTCATTGTTTTAGAAAGGCATTATTTTATTGATACTATCTCTATTTATAGAACAGGTAAGGCAGTGTAAAAGTAGTTAATTAAATGAAGAAGAGTAATAATGTGATGGGTAGACGAAAGGTAGGCGAAGTGCAAACAAACTTTTCATAACATCACCGCCAGTGTATAAGGTACTTGATACTCTAATCGGAAACTTACGCATTCAAAGCAGCTATGGCTGACTGTAGGCTTTCACGTTCTGGGTCTTGACATGATCATTCCAAAAACTAATGATAATTATTTGCAACAAATATTACATAAATGTGATATGGCACTCTTTCAATTAACCGTACTTTCATATGAATTTTCCAGATTCAAGATTGGTGTGGACTTTTTGTCGATATTATCATTTCTTAAAGCCGTATTTTGGTGGGTTTATGGTATACAAAATGAAGATTAAGATACAATTTATTACAAATAGGTGTTCATTTGATTTACTGATGGTCCTTGTACAACGTCCTCTCGTATTTTGGCGTGGACAATCCTCGGAAAACAAGCTAGGCTTCAAAATACATATGTCTAATGAAAAGGACGGCATATCTTTCAATGATGAGAGTTATATGTAATACCAACGGTGCTCAAGCGATCCTGTTCGAGCGGTCCCAGGTGGTCTCCTTTCTAAGCAATCCCTGGAGATAACAAGTTCGAAGCAAAAGTGAAAATTCCCCCCCCCCCCCCCATAATTTTTGACATTGTGACAAAGAATGTCCCAGAAATGCTTTGCGCTAATGACGAATAGCAATATGGCGGAATGACATATCAAAAATCCACTCGGGACCTCTCCATCAATTAGGATCTTGATCAGCAAATCTGCTGAGATTGTCCTTAAGAATAAGGAAAACTAAAAGCTATGAGCTAGTTGGGAACACAATAAATAGAGTACATTCATCAAAAAGATGAATACTTGCTTAACTTTCGGTTTCATTAATATTAACAAATATTTGGCCATGTTTGTTTACCAATAGATCCGACGGTATGTCCATCATAAAAAGTCATTCTTGATTGTAGTCCCATGCCTAGCATAACTTATGAAATAGATTATGAGTGATGCTACGCTCGATGCTCCTATTCATCTTAAACATCATTCATTATTATATTTAAACTTCACATGGCAGAGATAATCGTTCAGTAGACGAATTAACAATAGGTACTTGATATGCCTCTGTATATTAAACGATATCATCTCGGACTACATTTACATTGTGAACCAGGTAACAAAATACCTCATCAGCATGACAAGGACGTTATGTATATATATTTATAATGTAGTAGTCATGTCTATAAGCTTCTGGCATTCACGCTTAGTTGGGACGCTATACCTCAGTCGTGTTAGCGTTGGCCTACGTAACCTGCGCGACACAGAGTGCATGGTTCGACGCTCCTTATCCTTGGTGTTTATGTTCCTCGGGAAGCTAAAAAACGGACCGGACAGTGCTGCACGTAGATACATCCTTAACCACAATTGCTCTGACTGGCATACGACGGGCCTCCCGCATATTGTTCAGTGATGTAACCAGCCACCAGATAATGTAAGAAAGTTCCATCTCCATATAACCATGGCTGTTCATAGGGCGATAACCCCACTAAACAAAGCTTTCATATAGAAATCTACCAGTTATACAGAATTAAAGAATTCTAAAAACTCTTCACAGGACAACGTGTTCATTTCATTCGTGTTTGATATGGTTAGACATGGTATTAAAAAGAGAAGACATGGTCAGTTTCTCTAAATATAAACTGTATTTTGACGAGGGTGTAGAAAGACAAAAGTAGCGAACCTCTGGTGAGCCACTTTTGTCTTTCTGTCTCGAGCCAAAATACAGTTTACATTTTAAAGACATTGACCATGTTTTCCATTTATCCTGCAATATTGATTGAAAATCAGGCTATAGAAACTCGACGGCTTTGTTGTTTAATCTGTGTTTGTCTGAATTGACGTACACTGAATCTTACCTGATGACGGACGCCAAAATAATTGCTCCGCGCGGAAACATGGTTCGAAACTCCATCGGATATCACGGCGATTTTATGAATTTTCATAAATCAACTTGTTCATTACAACATGTATAATTGCTTATTTCAATAACTATACATTTCTAAACGTAATATTTAATTAAATACAGAGATTAATTCTATCGAATCACCGCACGTGCTAAAATACAACTGTTTTCCGTCACTGCATAATACAGCTAAATATATATGTGACAGATGTATTCCGACAACTTCGGTGCCAGTCCCGGGGTCAATATCTATATGATGTATTAAGCAAGAGTTGCGACATCTGAAATGTGAAATTTAAACCTCGTAGCAACATCCATGACTAGACGGACAAACAATCACAGTTAGACGAGTTCAAAGTTCTTTATGATAAATTGATCAAGTAATACACAATATCATCGGAGAGATAACAAAACAAATAATTCGTATCTAGTTTCAGCAAAGTTAACATTGATATAACGTGCATGTTTCTGTAGATATATTATAAGGTCATCAAGATGATACCAACCTGAAAGCAAAACGGTGGAACGAAGGCAGAGGAAAATTAAAACTCGACATTACTGAAGGATAAACGCTTCCATCAACCTGCTTCTCTTCAAACTCTGTATCATTTCCGTCGGCAGTTTTAGCCATCCATAAAATATCGGCACAATATGAACCTAACTTACCTCGACAACTCGCCTATCACACTTCTATCGCCCTGTCGGGTACTAGGGTGATGTAATAGTTTAACTTCATCATTGACAGATACCCAGGTATTAATATTGGTTTTTTATCATTTATAAAACTGGACATTTTCTGGCGACTATTTATGATTTACCTAATTTGTTGACGCCTGCGGTCAACGGTCAAAACATTAATTCATTAATTCAACTTCATTTTCCTGGAAGCCTTGGAACTTATTAGATACAACAAATAGTCCAATATAGTTTTATGTGAACGTTCTTATACTCCGACGCGCACACGAATTTAACGTAAAACATTTTATTATTATCTACCAGAGTTACTTCCCTTCGTTTACTCTATCATCAGTTTTGCGATAAATGTGTCAGACGATGGTGGCAAAGAATGATTTCACTAATTAAAGTTTGAATTTTTCACTGACGCAGTTTCATATCTAAGACACAAATCTTCAAATAATTTAATAAGAAGTAAATTAGATCCAGATTTCCCATGATCAATGCAGTATATCGTGGGAATTGTTGAAAAGCGACACAAACTAATTCGACATTTGTCTATACATTCTTAACTTTTAAGTATTTCTGATGAATTTCTGTCAAGATCAAGATGAAAAATATTTTCATGGCGTTTATCAATAATTAAAACATAAGTTTACCTTAAACAAATGTTTACAAGAGGCTGATATCCAAGGTCGAGGTTATCATGTATATAGGGATAACTTTTATACCTCACCTGACTTACTCACATTTATTTTCGCTTAGAAAACTTATGCTTGTGGTACTGTAAGGTCCTATCGCCGAGGTCTGACACGGAATATCATGCAGAAAAGTCATATGGTATCATCAATAGGGGTGATATGATCTTCGGGAATGAAATGTCGAAGTATTCTTGTGTCATGGAAATCATGAAGCTAAATGCCTACACCACACGACAGGACAGGGTAAACAACAGCTTTCCTTCCTCAGATTTACACAGTGTCATACGCGGACTGGTGGATGGGTTCATCTCCACTTCCAGGAAAGGAAGACCATCTCTGCTGCCCTTAGATGATTGCCTTGCAAAGAGGCATCTGCTTGGTACCCTACCCTCACGGCCATGAAGTCATGTCTGCTACACCAAATGCAAAAGTGGACTGCAGGATAAGGCCAGCCAAACAAAACGTGTTTGTATAGAATGTAGAAAATATCTCTGTTGTCTATCATCACCAGTAAAGTATCTCTAGAAACAGGAACACTTTGTATTCTTGGCAGTACTAAACTGTTTGAGGATTGACCTGTCACCACGGATTACCAATTTTCTTCAATGAAACCATAATGAATAACAAAAACACATAAGAAAAGAAAAAACTTCACTGCATTAATATATATTCAAAGAAAGCTACATGTCGCACTTGAAAACACAAAACTTGAAAACAGGAAAGAAAAACAAAAACAAAGACTGGACTGTATATGCTGGTGCAGGCGTTTAACACTAAAGCCACTGTGTTGTTTATTGTCTTTTCTATTTTCTATTATTTTCTTTTTTGGTGGGGGTGGGGGGTGGGGGGGGGGGAGTCACATTTCGTTTTCATATAGCTTTTTCGTAAAAATGTATCTTAGTGTTGTGGATGGGGTTGTCCTTCTTAAAGTTGGACAGAGTTGCTAAGATTGCGGCAAATAACTGACATCGAAAATTTGCCGTCAGTACATTCTACCTCCGACTATGAAAGCAGTTCAGATCGATTTATAAATACATAGCTCTGTCTATAAAGGTACACTTTCCATTTTTGTTAGGTTGATTGCGTGTCTCTGTTACGAATGTAGCTCTTGTTGTCGGTACAAAACGAAAGTTTCCAACTTTTATTTCAACATTTGATATTGTTGGCTTACAAGTAACAATATGATATGCGGAGCATAGGCGAAAGGAAACTAAAAGGAAAAAATGAAAAAAAAATTTCAACGGTTATGATAAACATCAAACGGATTTTATTACATAAATGCTGCGGCGCGTTTGTGCCTTTCGCATGGATATTGATGTTATGTCATAAGTTCCCCGATGCAGAAAATTGTACACGAACTTAAAAGGATAATGAGAAAATGGGAAATGTCGGGACAAAATGCCTACTACACAGTGTGCTTCGTCACTGCCATCTTGAAATTGCCCCTCCGAACCTGTGTATACTGATTATCAGGTTGATGAAATGTGTTTATTTCACCGCGTGTCAGGAGCATTAATGTCGATTCTGCTTAGCAAATATTCA